GCAAATGCTGTATACGAACACGCCGAACTTCTTTTCGTCTGTCGTTTCGCGAAAGCGTTCGCGGGTATATCTGTTCCACGAGCTGGTCAAACAAGATACTAAGCCGTCGCCGGAGATAAAGATAAAGCAGGACTACGTTGACTTTAATTTTTTTTATCGTGCTTCGGGTATTATTAAAGCAAACGTTGTATGAAATGAAAGAAGCACGAGTAAACTCGACAAAGAAAAAGACTTTCAATCGTCGCCTTTGGTCGTTCATAATACATCAGCGCACGAACGTCGTCGTTGCGACTATGAATACACTGCTTGGAAATGCATTCGTGTCTAGACGGCGTGCGCAAGAAAAGAGCAATCGGACGGCGAGCGTTCGTGGCAAAAATGAAGAGGAATTTGACCGAAGGCAATCGCCGTGACGCGCGAGCTTGCAAAACACCTCGCGCGTGTGCGTGTGTGTCGAGACCGTGATATCCGTGCGTACTACGTCCCGAAAACAGAAAAATAAAAATAATTAAAAAAAAATCCCGGCTTTCGTAAACAGAAACTTCGCGCGACGAGTGAAAGTCTCGAGACGCGCACGTGTACCGTGAAAAAAAAAATCATTGGCCCCCACGTAACGCACGCGCTTCTAAGCCGAGGTCACGTGACGGCGTTGACGCCGAAAGTGAGAGAGAAAAATACGTGTCCCAGGCGTGCGCTCGATATCAATTGTCTGCTTGTTTTGCTCGCTTCACGAAAAATCAAAGTCGGAGAGCCTGTTAAACAGTCCGCAATAGCAGCTACGACGCCAGACGAGTTAGCGGCTCGTCGCGAATTAGCCGATTCGTGACGTCGTCGTCGTGCACCATTGAATCGGTAAGCACCACGCGAGATTTCCGTCGGCTGACTTAGACAAGTGTACGATGGTGCGGCAAACTTGGGCATGCGGCGTGGATTTACGACTTGCGGGATGCAGTTTATTGTTCGCTAACTGTTTTCCTCTAGTATTTTCCTTCATTGATGTGGGAACAATTTATTTGGCGCTCTTTTATTGCTGACGACTGGAATGCATATAGCGAAAAACTAGTTTTTCTCAGTGAAATTGCGCCTGTAATTTTTTTTTTAACTCGTCAAGCCTCCGAATACTCTTCCTCGTTTCAAACGCAACGAATTCATAATACGTCGGCGCATAATTGAATTAACGCGCTACCTCGTCATCTCCGCCAGATTAAAAGGCTGCGTATCGCGCTCGCGCTGTCCGGTTAGCACTGGATACCAAACGAAAAGCTCTGCGTCAGAGAAAAAAAATCGCAAGCGATCGATTGCGATTTTTCTTTTTCCATTTACCAGTCGATAATCAATATTTGAACGGTTATTCGAGGGTCGCGATTTCACGCGCATTGCAAGATCGACACTCGAGCAAGTTCCTTCAAACATTGACGGCTGCCTTAGTGAAAATCGATCTTATAATCGATCGAGCAAACAACATACGCAGTCTATTTGCAAAACGTAAGGAGATACCTACAAGCAATTTCACAGCGTTGTGCAAAAGCAGCGTCGCTTCGGTAAAGAGTGCTGCTCACGCATGGCACGCAAACGAACGATCGAAGTAGAGAAAAAAAGAAGCAAAATACTTTGATATCCCCGCAACGTCGCGTCCGCACGACGACTCCCAAGGATGCGCTGACCAGTCTTTGAGGTCATGTGCCTGAGCGCATTATGTGCCCCGTAATTGCTCGCTGCTACTGCTTCCGTTGAGAGAAAGCAGTTCCTATTTCGGCGCTATGTGCATATAGACGCTCCGAAAGATATAGTACACGCCCGTAGTTTCGAAAAGGCACGCGCGTTCGCGCTACAGGCAAATGAAAATAGACGTTTGATGTAACGCGCCCGCTAATTTGCAATAAGCCGCGCGATCCATCGAACGAGACCAAAATTAAATATGATGACTTGTATTATGGGGAAACAATTTCAATTATGTAAGCTTAGATTGTTTATTATTGCTCTACTAAGATTTCTCGACATAAAGAAATCCATTGTCGTGACGAAGCTCTATTTTCCGCGTGATTAAACTTGAAATGGAATACTTCAACGCAAAAAAAAAAAAAAGAAATGTTAAGCATCACACCGTAAAATAACGACAGAGTTTTTAATTAAAAAAATCAAAAGCGTCGATTGCACGAGTCGTTCGTTGCGTTTTTTTTCTTTTTTTTTGTTCGAAGGCTTGCACCGCTGGCGTCGCACATGAAAATTATGTAAGCTGCGCGTACGTGCACGTGATAAGATCATGACATGCATGCTCGAGCTGTGGATCAGTAGTATGAGTATTGCAACTGTGCCGGAGCATCTCTCCATCATAATAACAATAATAATAATAATAATTGAGATTCGAAATTCGCTTGCCGAAGGACGCTCGGATTTTTTTTTAATTCTGAAATTTTGACACGAGTGAATACTTTCCCGTTCGCGATTTGTTTACAGTAGGTTTGTAAACTGATTAAAATTGATGAGGATAACCGGATGCGCAGGAAGAATGTGCGAGCGAGAGGGTTTTAATGATGAGGACAGTATCGATCGACACGCGAGTCAAGGTCTTTGATATTATTCTCTCCCTGACCATATTCGTATTATGTAACAAATGTATTTTTCAGCGGTTATATCAATTTTTATTCGAGAAACCAGCTGTATACGCTATTTTCTATAAGCAACACGCTACTGTGGAAATCAACCGTGGGTCGGCAGTGCAATGCAGCCTCTAATTAAAGCTAGGCAAGTACACGATTTTACAGTCGATGAAAATTCCTCATCTGTTACTACCGCGTTACGCTTGATAAGGCGCTCCGAAGGAAAAACAATTAATCACTCCTCGCAAGTCTTTGCGCTTCTCGTAAATTCAATTCTATTATCAGAGCTTGAAACTCCGAGGTTTCACCATGTATATATTATACCTACAATTATCAGCGTCGCGCGCACGACGTAAACACGTGTAAATAAACAAACGATCGATGCTGATAAAATACATTTGATCTTTGTATTAGCGATTGTGGCACAGCATTCCTTTGTTTTTTGAAAACAATAATAATCGCTGTCGAAGAAGAGGAACCAGACGCTTGTTCCAATTTCAGCATTTTTTTTCCCTTTGCACGCTCGAGAGATAACTTCGACTCTGCGTTCCATTTTTCAATGATATATCTCATCTCGGAGAGCCAATAAATTCAACGATTTTGCGAAGAGCAGCAGCAGCGGCGATAAATGAACACGCGAGCAATTAGCGACGCGAGGCATATGTTCGCGAGCAATAACTACTTGGCGTCCGATGCATCCAATCTCGCGGTGTTGCCGACTTTGACTGCGTCATTCTCTCTCTCTCCTCCTCTCCTAACTCGTGGCCGTTATGCATTGACAGAAATAATCCATCGAGCGCGAGGGAGGCTTAATTTGAATGGTAACTCTTATTATTCGATAGCGAATCGAAAAGTTTATTTTTAGCTGGCGACTGACGGAGAAAGGAGAGCAATTTCATTCCAGAGAATAGGAAATCTGGTGTTTCCCATCTTGATATTTGGCAAACGATTGTCAAGCACGCATGAAAAGAAGTAAAACCGTGTGGGACACGCATTCGGACGACTTCCACACGAACGCTTCGTTAATGAGCTCGCGAATCTAATCGTCGTATTATTGAAGTTTTCGACATCGTAAACACTGTCATAGATGTTTATTCGAATCGCTCCCTGCTCTCTCTCGCTCTCTCTTTATCGGACTTCGTGACCAAGTCGCGATCTCGATCTCCTTTTTTTCTCCATTTATCTCATATTATGTATTACACACGCACAACGCAGTGGGCGGTGGACGTTGGGCAGGGGATAATAACTTTTTATCGACATCTGTACCCGAAACGATCCCGTACAATTTCCAAACAAAAGCAGTGCGGCCAAATGTGTAGCCGGCACGTAATGTAAGCTAGTAGTGGCACGGCATCGTGGCGGCTTCGCTAAAGAAAGATTGAAAATCTAATTTGCATGATCACGTAAGGCACCACACGGGAAAGGTCAATAAACGCGAGTACACCCAATCCCCAAGTTACATAGTAAACATAAAAGGAGAAAGAAAAAATTACGACCTCCTTATTTTTCCTTTTCCCTCGATATTTGGCACCTTGCCCGAACGCCAGTCGAACAAATTTTTGTAGTACTTATTTATTTATTTTTTTCTGAAGAGTCTGGTGAGTTTATAAATAAGCCGATAAAAAAAAATGGTGCCGCGGAAATTTATAACATAAATAGCGAGTCAAAATAGACTGAGGCGAGAGGCGGGCGACGCTTTTCTTACAGCGCGCGACTGCCGCTGATGACGCCGAGCTATTGGAAATTCATCGATCGCCCGGCTTTCTCATGACGGAGCTGTAAAAACGACGCCACGGTCGCGCTTTGTCGGCCGAAAATCAGATGCGAGTTTTTCGCTTTCTTTCATCCGGCGAGCTATTTGCCTTGGCTGCGAGCCACCGCGTGCACACATTATACTGCTACTTCGCCTCGATCGGATCGACACAAGTCGCTAGCGAGAGACGAAACTGTTATCTGGCAGCTTCGATAAGCCGCTCACCAGACTGTTTGGCTATGCAGGCTAATCGACGTAGCGTTCGCGCAAGAAGCTAAGGGAAAAAATGAAATTGCGCGCCCGAAGAAACGAATAAAAGTATGAAAAAAAAAAAAAAAAAAAAATTTGTGAGCTGGTTTTCGTGCGGGCGATAACGCTCGCGCGCAGAACAAAGAATGCCAACAGCGGATAAGCTATCGCTTAATGGACACAACTTTAACCATTTTACTCCTCGCCGTGCGCCATCGACTTTGTATTCTAACCAGTCGACTCTCGATTAATTTGCTCTCTCCAAACATCCGAGCTACGCTTATCGTAACCGAGAAAAAGTCACGTACCCGCCGAGACGCGAAGCAGCGTTCTCATACGCGATTTTTTTCTTCCGCGGAGATGCTCGAGCAACGCGAAGCGCAAAGAAAGAGACTCACCTTTCCTCCTGCCGAAGGGCCCGAGAAAAGTGCCATTCTTGCCGACGACGTTGTCGTCGATGTATCTCAACAACTTGCCGGCGTCCTCGCCTCGTTTGGCGGCCAGAGTCGACTTGGCGGCCGATAGCGAGGAGGAGGAGGAGGAGGAGGACGAGGAGGACGGCAGCCTCGGCGGACTGAACTGATGTTTGCTGGGCGAGTGCAGCAGAAGCGGAGCGGGAGTCGGCGACGACGAGGGATGCTGCCTGGCGCTCGGCGCAGGCTGCTGCTGATGGCCGATAGCCGGGCAGCTGGCACTCGCCGACATTCCGCCACCAGCAGCGCTGGCACTCCAAGCCTTGCTCGATATCTTAACGCTACAACTCATCGCTGCCTCATAGCACACGCAGCTCGGCTTGCCTACCGCCTGCCTGTGCTGCTCTCCTGCTGGTGCGTGTGGCGACGGAGGGCGCGCACGAAATTCGCTCGGAGGCGCAGCGGCCGACGACCGACAAGCACAAAAGTCCGTCTCCGTGGCGCGGCTCGCCGCCCGTGTACAAAGCGTGCGTGTGCGCTGTGCCGCTGTTCACGCGTCGGCGAGCATAATGATTTTCCCCGTACACGTCCCCAAAGAGCAGCGTTCTGGCGCCTGCGCAATTGCGTGCTTGCGGTGGAACGAGCGAGGCGACTGGCTGTGCGAGAGATGCGCTGCGTGCTGGTCGAGCGCCGAGCTGAGACTGGCTGTCTGCCGCGGCGTGCAGTGCCGGCGAGCGCGAGAGCACTGCTGCCTCCCAGACCCACTTAAGTTCGCCAGTGACGTCAGCGACGCGGGCGCCGCTACGTCTTCTATCGCTGCACGGCGCCCGCTCGCCGCCCGCTCGCCGCCCGCTCGCCGCCGGGGCGTGCTCCGCGATTGCCCGCGGACGGGCACGTCAGGTACGGCCACGATCGCCGCGGCGATTCTTGATTCTTCGGGGCAAGAGCTTTTTCGATGTCGGTTGGCAAGTGCAACAACCTCTCTTATCGCGCTCTCTTTTCCTTTTTTTCTTCTTTTCTCCCTTGAGTGTAATTAAACCGTCGAGCGCTTATCGATTTTGTCGCGAGCGCGAGCGAGCAAAACACGATGATTATTGGCAATTAAGGACAATGCTAGGTTGTTTCTTCGTGCGAGATATGTGAGCCAAGTCTTTCACATTTTGTGCATTAGGGGTTACGTATTGTACGAGCGACGCATTAGGCAAACATAGGAAGCTCTCGATTGTATGTATCCTGCAATTTCGAATTATACAACGCGCGACTTCTCGTGTACCGGAGAGTTCATTCTAGTCGAGATTATCTCCAGCGAGCGCAAGGAAAATCGTTACGTTACGTATTCGATTGTATGCTTATTTTCTTTTTTTTAACTTTGCCAACGTTACACCGAGTTTCGTCTTCTGGTGCAGTTACTGCGGACGCGTTGATTATTTTCTTCCGCGCGAACGAAAAGTTTAAGTAACTTGAGTGCTTATCGCGGTCGTTAGCTTGCGCTGACGTGAAAAATAATTCAAAATTCTCGTTCTACCGGGGACAATGACAGTTCCAGTAAATTCCAGTCGCGCACGCGAAATATTTGCAGTTTTTTCATTGTCGACAATTCCATCTTGACAACTCGATGCCAATTGGCCAATAATGATGTCAACAAATAAATGATACTTATGTAAATACACGTGAAAACGAACATAATACGAGACGGCGATAAAAAAATGAGCTGAAAACCTTTTCCGTCTATCCTTGAAGTCGTATTGAAAAATCCTTCGATTTCGACAATACAAACTTATCTTTTCGATGTACTCGTATTTCGAAGCTCAATCTTCCATCTGAGGCACAGTCAAGCATAACAGGAATCCAAACGAGCCATAGCAACGGCTTCGCGTGCGTGGCGCATTCTTCTTTATTTTTCGGTCTCCCCCTCGGCGAAACGTGTGTATGCGTGCGTGTATCCGAAGAGAGAGAGAGAGAGAGAGAGAGAGAGTCGCGCGCGTTCGGCTCTTCTTATTCTCCTGCGCCTCCTTCTAATATTTCGTGGCGAATTGTTCTTGTTTTGGGCCGTCCAAAAGTGTGGCTTACGTCATGCTGGACTTTGAGAAAAAGTGCACCGAGCAAGATCTCAAAGTTGCCGCTGCAATCGAAAGAAAACGACAGATTGAAGAGGCTAGGAAAGCACGAATTTTTAACCCTCGTGTTCGCAGGATCGGAGTAAGCCTTATTGATAGATTGTTTATACTTTTATCTGTGCTTTTAAATTGAGCAGCGAATAACACAAATTAATTTTTAAAAAGAATTCAACATACGATTTCAGTAGTACAAGTCAATATTATGAAGGGTAAAGTAGTTTTAATGAGGTTATGCTAATTTGTTTATGCTATCAAATCACATTTGCAATATACTATATGAAACATGAACATGTTTAATAATTTAATTAATATCGCAAAGGCTGTTTGTAAGAAATGACAAACTACAACAGCTTTTTACGACGAAATTTATAATCTTTGTAAAGCAGTTACTCATTCAACAGCAGCATAGTTTTCAATGTTTTCAATAATTTAGCGTATGTTACTAATTTTTACATTTGCAATATTTTAGCCTCATTATGCGCATTCTATGATGAGTGACATACAACCAAAGCTCAATTTTCAAAAAAATAAAATCGTAAAAATTATGAAAACCCTACAAAAACTTGTTCATTAATTTAAATTATACAGGATTGAAGTACAATTAGTGGTTTCTTTTTACTATATTTTTTAAATTAAAGCTTGATTTTAAAAAATTACAAATTTGAAAATTATGGGTAAGAGTATTGAAAATCTGCAAAGTTGTATTGAAAGTCTCAAAACATGTGAAATATTTGTAGATCTTCGAACCCAGTCAATAGTTACATGTATTTTAAGTTTCTAAATTAAAAATAATAATTTTGAGAGAGTAGCCTTCCAATTTTTGCACATGGAATTCTAAAAAACTCAATAAATTAAAAATAAGCACAAATACTGATGCGTCAACAAAGAATAGCCACCACGTTTGAACTGCAAAAGAACACTTGAGTGCTCGAAAGAATGTGTTTGTTTCATTGTAATTCCATAGATAGACAAGGAGTTTTTAGATAAGCAAGTAGAGGAGAAGAAGCATCAACGAGCGTTGGAGAAGGAGGAAGAATGCCGTTTAAACGAGGCCCTAGTTCGCAGCAGCCAACTTGCCATTCTTCTCGAGAGGCAGCACGACCAAGTATATACACACTCTTTTTCTTTCTCATACATCTATTCGGAATATTATTTAAGCGTATTCCATAATTTTATAGGAACGGCGTCAACTAAACAAGGAAATCAACGCCTTCAGGCAGAATTTTCAGAAACCACAGCAACGAAGAGACTTTGACCTGTATGATCCTGAATTACTGAAAAAGTCAAAACCTCCGAGGGAGGAGAACGATTATCGTTTGGGACCAGCGTCTGCCCAGATGTACGTTTAATGTCTTTTTTGATTGAATTTTTTCATTTTCTATATTTTGAAAAACTATTTGGTTCGAGTCATAACAGAAGCTTTATTCAGTTGATGTATGTACCATGTAATGTTTTCGACAGCATTCTGGTTTTAAATTGAAATTGGATATCAATAATCGATAAAGTCAGTTTGAATAATTTGAGTGTATTTCGATGACGCGCATTGGCTGATAAACTAAAAAAAAAGAAACGTTAGATTCATTCCACAAATGGTAGATTTTGCATAAAGAAGCCCGACGATGCAATAAGCCTCGCCTCAACAATCGGGAAGCATAAAAAAAGAATCAAGTGTCGGAAGCGTGAATTATGATGACATCACATCAAAAGAAAGTGAAAAAAAAAAGCCGACCACAAGCGCAACCCGTCAACGCTTACTTCGCATTCGCGACACGTGTCACGCGCGCTTTTACCACGTAAATGTCAGTTACTCTCACTTTCGTTAGATTCTCTCCAAGCACGAAGGACTTACCCGACAGACAGCCTCGGGATCGTCGCAGGACGCCGGAAGATAGTACATTAAAAAGAAAAAAATTTCAGTTTCGAGGGCGAGGATGCGAACGGAGCAAACCGACGACGCGAACAACGCGAACAAATGCAGAGTTGGATAGTCCAGCAGGTACAGCAGAGAAGACAAGCTGACAAGGAAAGATCAGAGTCCGAAAGGATGTACCAAGAAGCTGTTTTGGCGCGTGACAAGAGGGCTTTGCAGTTGGATAACATGGAGCGGGAATGTCGACGAAGACTCAACGAAGCGACGGCTAGATTCAACCGGGCTTTGGTTTGATTTTACTAGATACGCTATAGCTTGTGCTAATGCTCTCGAGTGTGCATTTGATACGACCTGACGTAAGCGCAAAAATAATCCATGCTCGGCTGAACAACGTTGTAGCGGTTTGAGATGCAATGGAATTGCGTGGCAGCGATCCTCCAACACTTGGTTAGATGAAACAGCTCCCAGCGTGCTGTCTTTCCAAGCGTATTGATTATATAGTACACTAAGTTGCGCCAGGGGATTAAAAAAGATTACAAACCAATGGAGCAAATCTCATTGCATGCGATACTGCACAATGGAATTTGGTTCGAACGTAGATTCAACACGAATGTTCTTCGCTCGCGTCAACAAACAATCATTGCGGCCAGACTGAAGAAATCATTCGTGTTAATATTTTATTAGCGCGATACGTGGCGCGATAAGCTCAGATAAATTGCACATCTCTCTCTCTCTCTCGCGCACGCTTTAACGAATTGCAGTTGCGATCGGTGAACTGCGCGCACTGGGAGGATCGCGATGAAAGCCAGTCGAATAGCGAGCCGCAATATCTGCATCCGTACTTGAAGCAATTACTGGACAAACAGTATTGTCGCGCGTCAATGACAGCTGCATTCGCACGTTTACTTCTTCAATAATCGTCAGTCGAGGTCGTTTGCTCCTTAATTTCGATCGAAATCAGGAAGTGCGAAATAAAACGGCAAATATATACGTCAAGGTGGCGTGTTCATGACCTGCTTAAACATATTTCGCGCACAGGCCGAAGAACAAGAACAACGCCGTCGCTGCTTGGCCGCTCAAGAGGACGAGGACGCGCGAGCGGAAATCTACAATCACGTGACCGGCGACTTCCTTACCGAGCCCAAGGATCTGGCCAACAGTGCACTCGGGCCCAGTAAAATATTAGCCAACCGATTCAAGGGCATGACCTCCGCTCAACTCAGAGTCTTTCGAGACGAGCAGGGCAGGCAGATGCAAGAGATACAGGTTTTTTAGCTGCGCTCTTTTATTATTATTTCTCTTTGAAAGCCGGATGCTGCAGCCCGAAACGATGATAAATTCCGACTCTTATTTGCGTTCAAACGAGCCTTAGCTCGCGCATGTGTGCGCGCGTCTCGCGAGAAAATCCAATTGACAAAGAGCCGACACGACGTACGTATGTGCGACAGAGCGGCGCGTTATTCTCGGTTTTGAGGCCGATGACGCTCTGCGCAACGCTCTCGATTTTGAATTTAGCGATGCCGTCAGAGAGACAATGGCGGCACGAGGAAAAAACTAAAATCGAACTCGCTTGCAGCGAATGAAAGCCGAGGAAAGCAAGAGAAACGAGGACTGGAACAAAATGGTGAACGGAAACGCCAGGGCCGCCGAGAGTCATCAGCGGGAGTTGGATCGTCGACGAGCGTAATTTTGCAGACATATACGACACGCCTGAGATTGTCGGACTGCCGAAAATTTACTTACGCCCCGTTTTTTCCTTCTCTTCCGTAGAGAACTCAGCAAGCAGATCGCCGAGGAGAATTTGCGAATGGCCGAGCAGCAAAAGTCACACCAGGATTACCTCAATCGACTCGTGTACCAAAATAAACCGAGCCCCGAGTTCTACGAGCAGTTCAATAAGAGCACCCGATGAATAACGCATCTAATTGCCTCTCCCTTTCGCAATCCATCGTCAGCTCTGCGCGTGTCCAAAATTTTTCGCAATAAAAATGTAGTACGAGAACTACAAGGAAACGTCATTTCTCTCCTTTCCAGATTAAAGTGCTTACATGTTCTTGCAGTCATAGATTGCATTTTTATATTTTATTTTTGATCGAACAAGTTTAGACAGTGGAGCCATCTGTACATAGCGGAGGTCGATTTAAATTTCCGCGGCTTTCTCTCCAGCAGACGGCAGCAACCACAATGTTTTGATTTTGTTTTGAAAATAATGGACGCTTGACAACTGACTGTCGGCGAGCTTGTCGCATTTTTTGAAATCCAAATGCTGTAAGATAATCGAAAAACAATGTATACACACTGATGAATGTTTGTTTACAATTTAAGAGTGTAAAATTGAGAGAAACGATGACAGAAGTGGAAGAAAATGTACTTCCGCCTAAGTAAGCTAGAGGTTATGTTTAAGTCTTGTTATGTTTATTTGCATGATTATTTTTGTTTATTTTTGTAGATTCTTTGATAACAATTCTGTTCTACACGAATATGAATCTATTTCCGCTAGTTTGAAGGAAGAGTTGAACATGTGCAAGGTTAGTTTGCAAATAATCGATAACAATTATTTTAACGTATTTTTTTATTACTTATAATGTAATGAATAATTTGCTCACTCCTAATGTAAAATTGATTAGGTGGAACAAACTAAACTTCGATTAGAAATTAAAACTATTCAAGAAGAAAATAGAAATGCTAATGAAGCTCTGCATGCTTCTTTAACAGAATGTAATCATGGTAATTGTCAAATAGTAGAAGAGCATAAAGAAGTTCTTACAAATTTAGAAAAACGAATAACTATTATGCAAATGGAAAAGGATTCTACTTATCAATTATGGCAAATGGCATTAAAAATTATAGATTGCTTAGAAGAAGAGCTTAGAAATATTAATAGAGATGACAAAAGTACAAAATTTTATCAAGAACAAATTGTAAATATAAAAGAAGCGTATTCTGAAGCTATTAAAGTACTAGAATCTAAATTAGTCTCTGCCAAAGAAACTTTTTTTCAACAGCAAGCTCGGTCAGAAAAAAACAAAGAAATGATTGAGCAGTTAACAAAAGAAAAAACTAACATTTCACAGCAATTAACTATTTGTCAGCAACAATTTAGCGAAAAAGATAAGATTCAGCAAGCAACAATAGATTCCCTAAAAGAGGATTTTAATTCTACTAAATGCGAACTTGAATTTATCAAGCAGTCCAAAATTGATTTAGAATTAAAGTTAAAGGAAGCACAGACAATTGTAAGTAACATGATGAAGAGAGAAAATGAAGCTAAACTTAAAGTTTCAGAAGCTGTTGAATTGATAGAATCTGTAATGAAAGAAAAAAATGTAATATTAAAAAGGGAAGCTAGAGTTGTAGAAGAAAAAATAAAGCTGGAAAAAAACATAGCTAAATTATCGGATGAAAACGCTAATCGTTTAGATACAGAAATTACAAAAATCAAAGAAATGTATAATAAAAATATAAAAAAGTACCAATTAGAAATTAAAGAATTAAAAGCTGAATTGAGAGAAAAAATAACGGCATTAGATCGAACTGAACGAGAACGTAGATTAGCAGAAGAAGAATTAGAAAAGGTTAAGCAAGATTCAAATAATTTTATACATAATTCTCATGCTCGAATTCTGAATCTTGAACAAAGTCTACAGCCAAGAGATTCTAGGCTACAAATAAATGAATCTGGTCAAAAAACGATAAACAATGACAGAATTCTTGATTTGGAAACTCAAATAAGTCGTTTGCAGGAAAAATTATCTAGTACTACAGAGACATTAAGACGGGTCCAATTTCAAAATTCTCGAGATGTAGAGGACCAGATAAGAGAAGCTGACAGTCGTAAGAGAGAAATTATGGAGAAATGTTCAAATTTTGAAAGGCAATTATCTCGATCTATTACTGATAAAGAAAATTTAGCTTGTCAATTATATAATTTGGAAAGTTCTTTTCAAAAAGAATTACAAAAGAGAAATCATGAAAAGCTATTATTGGAGATCAAAGTTCGCGATCTACAAGAAAAGATTTCAAATGCAGAAAATTTTCCTAATGGACCAACAACTGTTGTAAATAATTTACCAATCAGAAGAGATACTAGTCAGCAAACGTAAATATAGTTTACTAATACTTGTTATAAAACAGAAAATATACTTAATTAGTTATTTTCTCCCCTTTTTTAGCATGGTGCATTATGATCCATTAACAAACATCATAGCTTTACAAGAAAAATATGATAAGAAAACAAACGAATTAATTCAACATGTTGAAACTCATCAAAAACTTAGTAATAAGTAAGTTATATAACTGAGCCAATCTAATGATTTGAGTTGTATTTCAATAGGTAATTTTTTATTTTCAGATGGAAAGAAGAAGCCAACTCGCTTACCGAAAAATTCCAAAAACGCACACAAGATTTCAAAAGTAAAATAAATATTTTACAAAAACAAAACAATGACTTAGCTCGGGAATTGCTATTTTACCAACAACTTCTTGCCCGCTGTAATGCCCAGATAGTTCAGAAATTTACCACAGATACAGAAACACGGTGACACTTACTGAAAACATGTATAAAAACATTATTGCAACATCAAATTAATTTATTTGAAAATATTTTTGTTATCTGACAGTATTTTTTATGATATACCCTTTTCTTACAAAGCTTTAACTAATTTATTCGCGTTTATTTCACTTAAAAAAGTACAAATTCTATTTCAACAATGTAATAAAAAATCTTTTGAACTTTATTAACAAAAACTATTGAATGCAAACTATTCAATGGTAGATTTTTACGTTTTTGAAGCAATACAAGCAGTAAACAAACTTGGGAACCAGTATAAAGGTTCCCCTTCATTTTGATTATCAATCCAAGCAAGACCCTCTTTGACCATATGATCAAGAGCTTTTTGAGCTCTTTCACTCTCCCATTTTAACTCTGATTGCAACAATGATTTTGAAATGAAGGCACTGCCATTATTATTTGTTTGCTGTAAAACTGCAGTGTGATCCATGCTCAACTCTCCAGGTATAGACTGAACTAAGTATTTGCCTTTACTGATGGGCACCACAGAGAATCCATTACCGAGTATTTTAAGTTTTCTAGCTGAAGCAAGCAAATCTTCATTTGTTATTTCTTGATGTTCTTTACGGCGTCCTCTTGCTTGAATTAATCGTTCTCTTAATTCATCCAGCGATATCAAGCCTCCATTTTTGTAATTAGTTGCAAGACAGACTTCAACAATTTGAATTCCAAGTTCATAGTAGAAATCACCAATACCTAATACAGACCAAAAGCCTTTACCTGATGCTAATGGATCAACACCTATAGAAGCACACATTTCCGTAAATTGTCGTCGGAATTGCGCATTTTTCTTTATTTCATTCTTGTGCTTTGAGGCAAACTCTTCCAAATTTATTCGAAAAGTTTCCATTTGCTTTGTCATCTGCTCGAATTGATTTTCTTGAAGCTCTGTTCCTTTGTCTTTATACCGTTCTTGTTCATATTTTTGTTTTTGGATTGCTCCAACTCCTGGTTTTCTTCTCATTGTTGATGAATTTTTAATTTAGTTTATCTCTAAAATAAATATTAATTAATTATAATTTTATTTATATATACACTTACAGAAATGAATCATGAGACTTTTCACGAATTTAAAAATTTACATGCAACGCGTAAACACAAAAACATTACAAACTATGAATGGCAACAAAAACAAAATATTTATCTAACCTTAAAAGATCTCGAACACTCCTTTTCATTCACCGTAGATGTTGACTATCAATAAAATCACGAAAACTAATACTATTTACGCGCATAGTAAAAGACGCAAAAGAATTTTCCCGTACAAACACACTTTCTCCATTTCTTAAAACCTGCTCGAAACCGCAAGGCTCATCAGCTGATCGACGAACTGGTGAAACTGAGATTTTGCTATAGCAAGTAGCGAATATGTGTGTATGTGTGTACTATATTGTACTGTGCTCTAGTATTGTTTTTGCGTGCGTGCTAAACCCAACATAAAAGCTTAAGTGACTGTCGATTCAAAGCATTTACATATCACCTTCGAGACTTTCATCACTTAATTAATATGCTCGAAGGTGTGAAACACGTGTTTTTGGTACTTTCAGGCAAAGGCGGTGTCGGCAAATCAACCATCAGCTCACAATTGGCCCTTGCCCTCAAAGAAACTGGATTCAAGGTAATTACCTTATTTGTTGTTATTAGGAAAGGTTATGTTATTTTACGAAATCACATTCGTGATTTTCACCACTAAATTAGTCGTCAAGTTTTGGTGAACTGTAAGAAATATGAACTGATTTTTTTTCTTAAAACAGTTAAAATATCTGGATTTTTACTTGAAATTATATTTTTATTTAATTTTTATTCAACGGTAACAAAACATTTCTCAATATTTTTTCAGTAATATTGCATTATATTCAATATTGTGATCAATTTATATTTTTATAACTCTTTTTAATGTTATTCATAGGTAGGTATTTTGGATGTGGACTTGTGTGGACCTAGTATTCCATATTTGTTGAATCTAGAAGACAAAGATGTCCATCAATCAAATGATGGGTAAATTCATCTTACTCTAGTGAAAATTTTTAATTTATAAAATGTACCTGAGTATACATAAATTGAAAAAGAATATTTCTGCAAAGGTGGGTGCCAGTTTTTGCAGACAACAATCAAAAACTAGCAGTTATGTCTATAGGTTTCTTATTGAAAAATAGAAATGATAGTGTGGTTTGGAGAGGTCCAAAAAAGACAAGTATGATCAAACAATTTTTAACAGATGTTGCATGGCAGGACATCGATTATCTAATAATTGACACCCCTCCTGGCACATCCGATGAACATATTACAGTTATGGAAAACTTAAGGTAAGAAAATAATTTTTGTTTCAATGATGAATGTAAACAAATGTTTGCACGAATTTTTATTATTTTAAGAAATTAATTTACATTGCGCCTTTATTTTTAAATTTTTCCGGAAAAATATTACGCACCAACGCGAATTAAAAAAAAAATAAATTGCGAAAAAGCAAATATAATTCATAATGATAATAAAAAAACTTACATATGACTTGGCTAGCACTGAGCTCACGTGATAATAATGACTGAGAGTCATGTGATGTTTAAGCAAAAAAAATATTAGTAAAGATAAGTAGCTTTAGAGTCATTCAAAAGATAAGCCTTTGGTCAACTATATCTAAAAAAGTAGGTGTTAAAGTGAAAAAGGCAAGAACTAATAACACTAACTATTCTAAAACAAAATGATGTATGAATTTGAACTTGGGTTGTTTACAGAAATGTAAAATGTGATGGAGCTATAATTGTGACAACACCACAGGAAATAGCAATTGATGATGTTACAAGAGAAATCACTTTTTGTAAAAAAACTGGTATACCTGTAATTGGAATTGTAGAAAATATGAGTGGATTTGTTTGTCCAACATGTTCAGTGAGTTAATACTAATATCTATTCTAAACATTAAATTTAAGAAAAAATTTATAAAATTATTGGTATTTTCATAGGAATGTACAAATATATTTTCCTCCAATGGTGGTGTTTCTCTCTCTGAATTGGTAAATGTACCTTTTTTAACAAAAGTACCAATTGATCCAACAATTGGTAGACTAGCAGATAAAGGTCAAAGTATTTTAAAACTATTTCCAGACAGTCAAGTTGCACAAGTCTTTCGTAAATTAGTGGAGGAATTAACAAAAAGTAAAGAAGCGTAAATAAATATATAGTTTATAAAGTGATTTATTTTATACACAGCAATAGGATTTTTATATAACTTGAATGAAAATATTTTTTACATAAGAAAATATAAAATAAAATATATAATATTGGTTCACTTTGTTTACAAAAAATAGATTTTTCTTTAGTACAACTATTAAACAAGCACTGATAGATTACAATTATTCCAGATTCATTATCATTTTATTTGCATGTAAATTTTTTACTTTACTCAGTTTTACTTTTCTGTTTTACTCTGTTTTCATAAGCTTCCCATAAAACTTTCTTGTATTCCAAAATAGATTTAAGTTTATTTTCACTTTGTGTAACTCCTCTACCAACTACTACAAGATCTGCACCTGAGTTTACAACATCTTGAGGTAGATTATATTGTTGTCCTAAACCATCAGTGGATTTGGTAAGCTGAACACCTGGTGTTAGTTGAATAAGACCTGGATCTGTGAAAATATTTTTCTGGCATACAAATCCTGCAATTAAATCAAAATCTTTGAAATCTGAAACTGTAGAAGTAATATAATCTCCAGTAGTTAGAGCTCCTTCTGAAGACATTTGTGCTACTACAAAAATTCCTCTATCACTAGATAAACCTTGAAGCCCATCTTTGATTCCTTGAACAATACCTTTTCCAGACACTGGATGTATAGTGATTATATCTGCCCATTCAGCAATATTATAGATACCTTTTCTGTATTGATAAGAAACTACTTGACCTATATCAGCAAACTTTCTATCTTCCATTATTAAGAAATTGTATTTGTTTGCTAGATGTTTTATTTTATTGACAAAATCCTTAGAAAAATCTTCAATTATATCTACATGTATTTTTAAAGCAGCAATATGTGGACCTGCTATATCTGCAAGATCAATAATGTCTTGAGATTTTGTATAGTCAGCTGCTAAACACAAAGTGCTTTGTTTCTCACACATCAATCTAAATAATTTTAATGCTATAGGATTTTTAGCTTGGTTTGATCTATCGATCAGATTCATTTTTAACCGGTTATTGTCATTATTTAGTTTCAAAGGTGCTTGAATAGTTTTTATATACTTCTTAACTATTTCCACTGACTCTTTGGGTAATTTTCCTGCATCAAGCAAATAATCCATCAATTGAGTAATAGTAAATAGATTTTTTACTGTTAATCCTGCAGTTTCTAAATTCTTTCTACCTCCTTGTTCTCGGTCTAAAACCACCAACGCTGTGGTAACATTTAAACCTTCATTTTTTAAATCTTTGACCACTTCCAATATACTACTTCCACTTGTAATAATATCTTCTACTATCAATGGTGTATCACCCATCTGGAAAATTCCCTCTACCAATTTTTTTGTTCCATAGGACTTTGACTCTTTTCTTCTCATTACCATTGGTATTTTGGAGTCCAAAGAAATTGCTGTCGCAATAGGCAAAGCAGTATAAGGTACACCGCAAATATGAGTAAAATCTGTTTGATCAAGTAGACCCCATAGTGATTTGGAAATATTAAGCTAGAATATTAAATTAAAAATAAAAATAGTTTAATTTGCATTTCAAATTCATAAAATATAAGATATTCAGTTTAAAATCATACCAGTAAATTAGGATAAGATATAATGACACGAAGGTCAATATACACTGGAGTTGACAATCCTACTTTTGTTGTAAAATTACCATATTTGATAGCTCCAATGTCAAACAATTCTATTGCCAACTCTTTTAAATCAGTAGTTACCATTTTTCTGTTATGTATTTTACAAAACGAATATATTTAACCAGTGAGAACTTTGGTTATAGTAATGTAATAACAAATTAAGACGTAATATTGCAAATATTGCATTAAAAAAAAAGTTAAATCCAAGCTCTAACCAACCGCTCCAACCGCGTGTACTCACGTGGTACGTGGTTTTATTCAAGCAGAATGTATACGGCACTTACGGCAAATGCTTTGCCGGCAGTGTATAGTAAAAGCAGGTTAGACAACTTCAGAAAGTAAAAGTGCAGCATTTGATTTTAATATTTTCATTATTTGAATTGGAATAGAACAGAAAATGCAAAAATTTATTAAAAAGTTAAAGACAGTGTAAAATAAAACAGTGCAATATCAAACAGTGTAAAATAAAATTAAGTAAATTTCTTAATTGAAAATTTTATTACAGAATCAACGGTATCAATATAATAATTTTAAAATCATATAGAAACAAAAAAAATGTATTTCGTTGTACAAATGTACCAAATGGAAGTAAAAATAAATTTTATCGATTACCCCATCCCCAAAAGCCTTTAACCAATCCAGCAATACCACCCCTATCTTGTTTTCTGTTTGGATCTTGCATTTTTTCTGATAAATCAGGGAACTCAATTGAATTGGCAGCCAAGTCAAAGAATAAAGGCTTGCAAGGAATACATTCCATAGGAGGTGGTATTTTACAAACATTTGGCTGCTTGGTCAATAAACTTGGATCCTCAACATACTCATGTAAACGTTCAGAGAGCATTTTTTTGCTCTTCACCTGCTTGTTTGCACCAGTATCTTCTTCTTGATCCTCTTCTAGAACACTATGCGCATGAGCCGCACACTGTGCACCTTCAATCAATGATATTAGTTTGGCTAAATCGCTTTTCAAATCATCTGGCAAATAAGTTTTGTGTTCCATTGCATCTTTAACATGCTGCAGTGATCTTTGATACAAAGCCATAGCTTCTCGCCATCTGTGAAGATTAGCAAGCGATTTAGCCATGTAAAAGCACCTGAATGCTCTATAACCCTTAGTTTTAGAATCATGCTCTTGTAAAAAGTTTTCGTCATCTTGTAATTGAGACATTTCCACAAGATTATGCAAAGCGGCTTCATATAATCTTACAATATCTTGAGATTTTGCTTTCTCTGACTCTTCGGCAATCTTAACTAGAATTAAATTTCTTTCTAAAGTTCTTGATAATTTGATATATTGCAAATATGCTATCAAGTGTTGCGGCTTATCAACATCTTTTCCCTTTAATTCATTTCTGAATTCCTCACGTACAGCTGCAACTGCATCTTTGCAATCTATCAGATGTGCATCAAGTATGTCAACCTTAGCTTGATTATTGGAAGCCTTATCCAATGTGCTTTTCAATCTAGAATCTGCTATAAGTAGTGCTGCAACTTTTGGTGATGCAGTTCCACAAGACTTTCCTCGCCAAGATATCTCTTCTGTACTAGCCTGCTTTTCTTGAGTTTGAGTTATTAAAGAGTCCAAATTGTTCAACAAATCGCCACCTAGTTTTCCTCTCATTTGCATCAAATCATCTATTGCTGTTGTATCTCCAATATTGTATGCACAATATCTAAGATTAGGAGCTAACTCTTCAACTCTAGCTTTGTAAATACCTTGTTCATGCTCAGGCAGAGCATTTGCCAAATTTTGATAGACAACTTGAGCTTTCTTAAAATTTTCCATAGCTGGTCCCCAAACTTCAAGCTCAAAATTGATTGACCCTTCAATGTAAGCAACATATGCTTGTGCTTCTAACTTTGTTCTTGGATCACAATCAATACTCTACAGATTAAACGCACATTAATGCAAATTTTATAAATATTTTCTTTGTATAAAAAAATTTTTAAACTGGCTCTACCTCTATGAGTTGCTGTAATTGTAATGCATGAGCTCCAGCTTTTCTCAGTCTTGAGATTAAGTGGAACTTCTTACGAGGCTCAGTATTTGCTTCTTGTCGTAGTTGCATAGCATAACTCCATGCTCTTTCAGCCAAAGTAAGGGGAACTTGCAAAAATTTATCATCTCTTACCATTTCTGCTAAAACATCACGACGTTTAAAGTGCCTTCGATCACCTTGAGTAATCTTAAGGACCTTTCGCAGACGACGTAGGCGTCTTGAACAGTAACCTCTATACCTTTGGTAATCTCCATGTCTCAAACCATGTTGCTGTTGGGCTTCTTTGATGATTTTCAATACTGAAAATAAAATTAATTTTCGTAATACAAACAAATTTACACACTCATGTTTAATAAAGATCCACGTCAACATATGGAAAAAGACAACTGTTCAAGTGGTTTACTCACTTTCTAACGAATAAACTTTTTGTTCCGGTACCGGCGCCTCTTCAACCTCGATATCGGATTCCTCCTTCGGTATCATTATTAATCAAATAATTTTCACCAGCTGATTTCAACTGTGAAAAACAGTTGAAAAATCTGAAGAATTATTATGTCAACACATACGGAATACAGTCCTTTGCGTTATGCCGTCAGTCGTCACCTGTACACGCTATGTTTTTTCGTTGGTCAAGTTTGTATTCACTGCAATTTCACGCATGCGTTTTTAACTTCTCTCACTGAGAAAGGAATACTGATATGAATTGAGCAACACCATCTGCGTATATGTAATACAAAATACATACAAAAACTGAACGCCGTCTATTCACAAGCAAAGCGCCCTTCCGACCCCCGGTATCTTTTGCTTTTAAATCCATCAACGATAACACTGATTGGTAAGTCTCTCTTGCTTACGACGAGTTATACTTGATAATTGTGCATACTTATTTAGCTATATTTATCAACTTATGCTTACAAAATTTCTTACCAGTCCATTCTTCCATTACTGCAGCAGAGATATAGTGTTATAGTAAAAAAACGTGCGCAGATCGTGTGAGTTTGAGGTTACCAAAATGTCAAGTTTTCTTGTACGCAAAGCTCTCTGCTCCACGAGAACATTAAAAAGTCTTTCGCAATTTGGAGTTGTGCCTGTGAGAAGGATTAATCTGTTGGAATACCAAAGCAAAGAGCTACTCCGAGATTCTGGAGTTTCGGTGCAGAATTTTACGGTTGTCGATGATGTAAACAAAACCGGGTGGGCTATTGAAAAATTGAGTAAGTTGAAACACAAGTTTTATTATTCTTTAGTTTTAAAAGTATCATATAGTTTTTCAATATGCAAATTATATTTTATTCTGGGAATTACATGAAACATTAGTACAGAACAAATAATGAAATCTACTACAAATACCATTGTTAAAAGGATCAAAATAATCACAATATTTCTGTTATATAATTACAGAGGCTAGTGAATATGTAGTGAAAGCTCAAGTGTTAGCTGGAGGTCGTGGTAAAGGCTGGTTTGATAATGGTTTCAAGGGAGGAGTTCAAATAGCAAAAGAGTAAGTCAGTTCTTTTTTTTTTAATTAGTAAAAAAGTAAAATTGTTAAATATATTTTAACCTTTATATTCTAGCCCAAAAGTTGTTGCAGAATATGTTAAGAATATGTTAGGTCACCGTTTGATAACAAAGCAAACTTCAAAAGATGGCATCCTAGTAAACAAGATTATGATCGCTGAGTCTGTAAACATCAAACGAGAAACATATGTTTGTATTCTAATGGATAGATCCCATAATGGACCAGTTTTGATAGCCTCACCAGCTGGTGGTATGGATATTGAAGCTGTTGCTGAAAAAACTCCAGAGAAGCTCAAAACAGTACCATTAGATATTTATTATGGCATCGATGATGAGATTGCAACAGAAGTTGCTGAATTCTTAGGATTCAAAGAGGAAAAAATCAAAGAGAAAGCAGTCTTTGAGTTGAAAAATTTATGGAAACTGTTTGTAGATATTGATGCCCTCCAAGTAGAAATTAATCCTCTCGTTGAAACCGACACCGCGGATGTTGTTGCGGTAGATGCCAAGATTGCGTTTGACGATAACGCGGAGTTTAGGCAAAAAGATATTTTTGCTTTAGAAGATACTAGCGAGAAAGATCCACGTGAAGTTGATGCCTCCAAATTCAATTTAAATTATATTGGAATGGATGGAAACATTGGATGCCTCGGTAACTAATTAAAAATTTGTCAATTTTATTTTATTTTATATTATTTATAACTTTCTTTCGATTTAGTAAATGGTGCTGGTCTTGCTATGGCGACAATGGATATCATAAAGCTACACGGAGGTTCTCCTGCCAACTTTTTGGATGTCGGTGGGAGCGTTAAAGAAGATCAAGTTTTCCAAGCTTTTAGAATACTTACAGAGGGTATGTTATTTTTGCCCATGATTTAAATTTCAATAATATAAAGTTTGTGTATGAATAAGTTTCATTTCTATTTTTCAGATCCAAAAGTAAAATCAATTCTCGTAAACGTTTTCGGTGGAATCGTGAATTGTGCAACAATCGCAAAAGGAATAGTAGCAGCATCACGAAACTTGGGTCTTAAAATACCTCTTGTTGTAAGATTAGAAGGTATGTGATAAAAAAATACATTATCTGTATTGTTGGTGGCACATTTGATATCAAGATAATTGCTTGTTTTTGCAGGTACAAACGTCAATGCAGCAAAAAAGATTTTATCTGAATCTGGTTTACCGATTCTGACGGCCAATGATCTCGAAGAAGCAGCTCAGAAAGCAGTCGCCTCAATACAAAAGTGATTATGATAAAAATATCGGATAAATTGTCATAATTAATCTATAATACATAATCGTCACTGTTTACAGATCACGAATTGACGGGCACAATGACATGAAGCTCAAAATGTCGCAATAGCTTAATATTGTTCTTTAACTTGACTAAGACTGGCCTATCATTCCTCGTGATCATATCCACTGATCATACAACAATCGATCATGCGAAAGACAACTTAAATCAAATGATATTCACAATTGCCCACTCTCATTCATATTATTTTTATTTTTAACAAACTTACTTTGAAAAGACCATTGAGACTAGCCAGACGTGCGTTTATCGTTGTTACTAGTTACTTAAGATATGGATAGTGTTTTTTCTTTTGAATAAATGTTTTGTTATAAAAAGTTAGCTCTCAAAAAACAGTGTATCGCTTGTGCAAACTACAACATTCCTCCTATTTCTTAAAGTAAATTTCATGTATTTTTACAAGTGTTGAAAATGGGTGAAAAATTTCTTTGCCGAAGAAGTGTTTGACAATTGTTTGAATTATTACTGTAGCTATTAGTCAAACTATGATTCATCCCAGAAAATCTCACTACGCACGCTTATTTTCGCAGAACAAAACGTGCACGTCATATTAAATATCTCATTCCTTGTGAAAAAAAAAATTTGTCCTACAGAAACAATATTTTTCCAACGCAAAGTGCTGCAGTTCGACGACCGCTACACCAATCAATCAAGTTCAGTCCTTTAAAAATTCACTCTATCCTACGAAAGCAAAAACAAAACCAAGAAATTTCGATCGAATTACAGCTTATCAACGAGATCAAGAGAAAAGGTGTGATTCGCATCAGTTTGATCGGTTTATGGTAGCCACGCGCGCGGGGCCGCTTATGGCAATCTCCGCATTAAAGCCATCGGCGGCGGTGGCGAAGTGTATCGGCAAGAGAGTAACGCCATATACGGTGTGCGATTTCGCAACATGGCTTTAGTGGGCCAGCAGGTCACGGGGGATTACGTGGAGAGATTTCTTTAAGGAGCTGCAACATACGTGGGACCTCGAATTTCGCCGTTGGGCTAAACTATCTACCGGCACCCGCGATAAAAAATCAACGCAACAAGTAAGATATTCCTCTTAATTAGAGCTCGTAAATGTATCGTCGCAAGCTTTATTGTCGAAAATACGCGTCGCTTTCGTTTCTCTTCAATTTCAATGTAGGATACATAAATCGTGTTCTGTGGGTGGGGTAGGAGGGGGGTATCGTTTGAGAGGAAACGTTGCGCTATTTTTCGCTCGTTAAGGTCCGTTAACCGGCAGTTTCTGCAAGTCGCCAAACACTTCTACTCTAAAGATGCTTAAACACTATTCTCTGAAAGAAAAAAAGCAAAATTGTTCTACCGGTACGTAATCGTAGAGTTTCATCGAAAATTCTGTCGTCGAGTGTGACATTTAATGGCCAAGCGATAAATCACACCAAAAAACCCCAAACAATGTAGTTTATATATCCTCCTTCGGAGAATCCGATACACATTATAAACCGGTGCACGCATCAGGTGTTCTCCGCGCAGTCTTTCTGCCAAAAAGGAAAAGAAGTGCAACGATGGCAGGACGCACTCAAGATTGTCTCTCCCACATTGTTTCTTTTTTCGTCTCTTTCGGCCAACAATTCAGAAGTCTCCCCGACAGCGGTGCGTGTGTGTGCGTGTGCGTCGTTCTCCGCTGCGCGCGATATATATAGACCGGTCGTCGTGGACGTGGTCTCTCTCTCTCTCTCTCTCTCTCTTTCTCTTTCTCTCTCTCGTGTGCTGGTCGGGGGCGCAGAGGGAACCGCCGACTATTCTTGGAGAACTTCAGTCAGAGTCACACTCGCCTTCGAATCGGCGACACATCGCAGCTCTCTCTCGTGCCGGCGTTCCTCCTGTGTTTACCTCCCTCCTCCTCCTCCTCCTCGAGTTGCGGGCCAGTGCAAGTTTTCGTGCGATCATAAGGTAGATGCACACGTTGTTCTCTGTAAGCTCGCGCGGTCGACGCGCTTTTGTCAATCAGCCGCGAGTGTGCGACCAATTAGTCGCAAGTGTGTCGCAAGCAGCGAGCGCTCGTCTCTTCCTTCGTCGGCCGCCGCGTGTTGTGCCGTTGCTTTGAGTCGTTCGATGCCAAGAATCACTGCGTTTCGTCGAAAAATTCGCCCGAAGCTTACGCAAGCTCGTATTTTTATCGGCAACGGCGAATAATGCGCGCGTTATTTTCAGATTAGAAAGGGACTACGCTACGTGGGTGCGTATGCGAGAGTAGAGATTATTAATTGCTCGGCAGACGGCCAATCGGGTGTGCGTGTGTCTGCGTGCACGCGCGAGCGAGAAAAGCGAAAAAAGTTCGTTTCTGCACATCGTGCTACTACTGGTACGTATGATAATTAGACGAGGCCGGAGAGAGAACTGCGTCTTCCGCGAGGCTCCCTGGAATTTAATTCCGGCATGCGGGATTCGAACGACGGCGGCGGCGGTAAGGCTGAATTCTGGCGACGCTCGCGGCGAGCGCGTGTGTAATTGGATTTCGGTGCGCGCGCGGCCGAGCTCGCGAGCGATTTCTTCCTTATTTGTTGCGAATGAGTTTTACATAAGCGCGTTACGCTCGCGTGATTCATCCGGGCCAAATTTAATGTGCCACGTCGCGAAGTCTTGCGATCTGTAATCGCTGATTCTCGCCGAAAAGGGGTCTCTCCTCTTTGCGCGCGTCGTCGCGCGTATGCGTCAGCGGATTTTCGCGCCCCGAGCAGCCTTGTTTCAACGATGCGTGCCGGACCCGGGATATCGAACGTTTTAAATATAACAGCCAAGTGGACATTAGTCACGCTTCAGAACAGACCTTCGCTCGGATTTCGATTTTAAAAAAATTCGCGTCTCGCGCGCCCTCGCATAAAAAAAGGAAAGGAAAAAGCAGACCAATTGTTCAAAGTGCCGATCGAACGGGGCAAGAAGCGTAGCTCGCTCGTAGCCATGTGAACACGCGGAATGAAAGACCGTTGTTATACGAGCAACACACTGGATTACGCGGTCTCTGCTGTGAGACGAGTGCAAACAAGAGGCCTACTCATCTAAGAATAAATCGCGGGGCAAAAGAGTGCTCTGCGAGACTGGATCGTTCTTTCTTTCTCAAAATATTAGCTTTGCCCATATCGCTCTTTGGAATGCATGCCCAAGCCGTTGAAAAGGGAAAAAAAAATCAGTTTACATTTACATTAGCGATGCTCTCTCGCAAGCTTTTTACAAAAAGCCCAACGCAATTTCGACCCACTCGTGGCAGTCAAATAATCGTTGAAACGATGTTGTAACTAGCCAGCATCGATGCTTGATTTTTTCGTTCAACTGCTGGTAATTCAAGATCGCTAAAAGTCTCGCGAAATGTGTAATGTGACATTGCAACTCCAAAAGACGGTGGTGAGTGACGTCATCACTGGAAAGGCGACACATTACAATTAAAGTCACATACGCGCTTTCAATTACATTGGCTAAGCATGAGAGGAATTAATTTCAAGACCAAATTGACGTGTTGTAATTTAACTTCTTCTTTTCTTTTTTGCCTGATTTTTATGTCGGGCGTAGATTTTATAAAAACACACTTTTATTTCGTCAATTTAGAATAAAGTCAATAGAATTATAAAGAATGTTAAATACACAGTCATATCTAAATCGAAATTTTTGTTGACTGTTCTCATTGAAAGCGTGTAGCTGTTTTCTAATTTGTCCTGATTTCTCACGTTATAAAGCAGGTTTCGAGCAGAAGAAATTTTCCGAAAATCTTTCAGGTCGAGCTACTTGCAGGACTGATTTTCGAAACATTTCTTATCGATTCCCTGACGAGAGTGGTCGTATTGATTGGATTTGCAAGACCGAGCTTGCAAGCTCGCACACCACCAGAAAGGTTTGAATGCACGTTTGGTCGGTGAATTTGAAAGCTGAGTAAATGATGCTTAAGTGGCCTTGACACGTATTTGGCCAGCCAGTTAGTTTTCCTGAAAGACGAGTCAATAGCCCAATGAAAGTTTTATCGATCGGACGGACAGTCGGTCAGTTGAGCGTCCGTAAACTGGCTCCCGACGAAAGTTTGCGCTCTCAGTGGAAATGAGAAATTGATGCAGCCTTTGCAACCTTTTGCAGAATCCAGCGAGTGCGAGAGAGCAAGAGACGCGGCTATCGCGAGAGGAACTGGGATCAGCAGCAAGGTGGCGCCTGCGAGCGATTGAACCCGGCTAGCAGTGAGCCCGAGAGAGCGAGCCCGGCCAGCGAGGAGCAGCAGCGGCGGCAGCGGCGGCAGCGGCAGCAGCTTGAGCAGGAGAGCCGCGGTGCGCGCGCAATCCCCCACCTAAAAGGACTCTCTCGCACACTCGTACAGACGTGCGTGCAATACCTGCGATAAAATGAATGAGCACGATAAGTCAGTGAATCCCGAGGAGGAGGCCGAGATGGTCGAGCGCGAGTTGGCGGAGGACGCCGAGTGGAAGCGTATCCAGCAGAACACCTTCACGAGATGGGCCAACGAGCACTTGCGCATGGCGAACGACCACATCGCCGACCTCGAGTGCGACCTCAGCGACGGCCTCAGGCTCATCTCCCTGATCGAGGTGCTCGCCTCTCGCAGACTGCCCAAGCACAACAAGAAGCCGACTTTCCGCTCGCAGAAACTCGAAAACGTCTCTGTCGCGCTCAAGTTCCTCGAGCAGCAAGGCATTCGCATTGTCAACATTGGTACGTACTTTCGCGCGCCCTGCCCCGCTTCGCCCGCGTGTTTTGTTTACTCCTCGTCGACGTCGTCGCCCAATTGCAGCTGTGAGCGTTTCTCGTTTTTCCATGCCCATCTCCCTCTCTCGCTGATCGGTCGTGCACGTGTAGTACCTCGGCCACTTGTTGTCTCGCTGTCTCGTTTACGGTACGTGCTACACTCGCAGCCAAATTTTATTTTTAAATCGATCGCCTTTTCGCCAATGTCAGAGCCCCAGGTGCATCGATGCCTCGACTCCTCGACAATTTTCTCGTTGACTGGCTCTTCGCTCCTAATCTTTCTTTTTTTTTCCACTGAGCTGTTTCTTTTGATAGGTGTTTCACGAAAATTTCATCACCGATAAGCCAGATATTAATTTGTCGATCGGTATTGACATTTTGCGTTCGCGAAATCTGGTTGATGAGACTTTCAACGCTGTTTCGATAGCGCGGTGATTGCTCTTTTTTTTTCGTCGGACTACTCAAAGATCTTTCCAACGAAAAAATATATCTAAAGTGATTCACTTATTGACAGATCATAAAGATGCTTACGCGAAAAAAAAAAAAAAATAAAAAAATTTGATTGAGAGCGCAAATATAAAAAATTCTTTGCGAGCGATGTCATTGCAAGAAAAACACCTTTGTCGTTCAAAAGTTTCAGTTATCAAAAACTAATTGTAGCTTACGCCAGTATGAGCAAACACGAATCGCGGAGCACGATTTAGTGATAATCACATGACCGGTCCCCCAAAAAAGTCACACAGACACAGAATGGATGAGGTAATCGTTCACTAGGCCCATCTCAGCATGACGTCAGCGTCCAAACTCGCCACAGCGGTGCAACGAAAAATTTTTCGTCGAACCGATGGCGTCAGCAGCGCGAGGTCACTTTAGGTGTCTCTCTTTTTTTCGCTACACAAAGGTGATCTCATACTCTAATGGTCGTGTTTGTTGTTTTTTTTTCTGCTCGGTTTGGTCCACGATCATCAGTTGACGAGCCATTTATCCAGATGTCTCGTTCGTTCCTGATGTCGCGCAAGAGCTTTTACGTACGCGCGATGGTTCTTTGTAAAGCGCTCACTGGTAATTCGACGGACTCGCCGCTCAACTTTGCGCGTGCCGATGAAAAAGTGTATCGCGGACAACACGAGACGGAAGTTTCTACTTTCCACCGCGTCGGCGTGCTCTTACCATCGAGTCCATCAATCGTTCGACGTGTACGCCTGAGCTTGAAATTTTCATGCTCACGTAGTTGTGCGGGCCGAGGTAGCAAGCATTGTGAATCAAAACGCGGGACGATACAGGGAAACGAAAGAAAAAGCGAATGATCTCAAGGGATAAGCAGCTGTTCGGTTGAGCGCTCGGCTGTTTACGGGAATGTCGGATGTATTAATGCCAAGGCTATACTTGGCTAATGATTCAATCGAGCGTTCGCCTCTCTCGAGCTACACGTAGAGAAGCTGTTGACTCAACTCTATTCGTTTTCGCGCGAACACAACAGAAATACAATGTGCATATGCATCATCGAGCCAAAAAAAAAAAGAAAATTGTGCTTGGACAGCTGCGAGATCTGCCTGTTGACTACGCGTAATTTCATTCCTTATAGCCGTGTTTGGATTAATGATAGTACACACCGCGTAGCAGACAAGCTTTTATCTGTTTGCTGCGTATTGGCGAATACACGACGAGTTGGCGTAATGCCTTTCCTTTTTTTATTTCCTGAGTCTTTTTCTATTTGAACACGCTGAATATTCATTTGATGCCGAGAACATTTCTTGTAACGCGAAGCGACTATCGCTGTGGTTTTTGGAATTTTCAATTTGCTTCTACAATCAAATGTTGTAGAATTGCAACGCCTGACTATAGTTTAAGTGGAGTTGTACCATATCGATAAGGTAGTTGAGGTGTATTATTGATTTTGGATCCGATCAGATATAAAAATTATCAAAATCAAATGTTTTGATAATCGAAACTCCCAAACTGTAGGAATCATTGTACACGACATTTATGTACGCGAAAGCGGGAAAATTGTGCTTCTTGATTTTAGCTTCTTCAAACTGTTGCTCCACAAAATCGATACCGACTTTATATACAAAAACCGCCCTCGATAGTCATTTAATTTACTAACGAGATTGTACAGGATCGAACTAGTCCGCAGAGTTTGATTTTTTATATCTCTCTTTTGAAGGACTTTTCGACGTAGGATATTGTTTTTTATTTTTTGCCAGTTCTTTATTTTTGATCCGTCAAATACTTATGCATGTATTTTTTTTTATAAAGACTTTATAATTTTTCTGCAGTATCACCAATACAATACTTCTAAAATCGGTTGTTTTTAACGAAAAACATTTATTTTCCATAAAACGTTGAAGAGCGTATAATTAAAATAGAACATAATTAAATTTTCAGCCTCATTTGATCAAGTTAACCGTAAAAGTTGAGATAAGATCTACAATCTTTACAGAATAACGTTATCGAATGCGCAATGCTTTTAGGTAATAATAATGAAACACGAGCCAAGTTTTAACGTTCCATTGTATACGACGCAAAGAAGGCGTGGAAGCTGGTGACGCAAGATTTTTTAAATACGGGAAATCATCTTGCAATTCCAATATTATCATGCAAAAGTCACCTGTCACGGTTCATCGAACTCTGTGAGCAAATCAATTGTCGATATAATGTTATTTTATCTCGATTGACACAGTTCCAATCCATTTATATATAGAACAATGTTAGACACTCTTTCCTATTAAGTTTTCAATAGTCACTAGGTGACTCATTCGCTTGCGGATCAGTTCATCGTTAAGTTGGTTTCGATTAAAATTATTTATCGCAAATTACTGGGTAACAAAAAAAGTCAATCATTTTCACAGCCGTTCATCATAGCTCAATCACATCTAAAACATAATTAACAGCAAAATGATTAAAGTCACATTTTCCAATGTTGTGCACTTATCCGCAGGATGCATGACATCAGTGAACTCTTAGTAACAGCTGAAAATAAACTTAAGGTTAATTCAGTAGAGTCACACTCATCTCGATCGTGATGTACGATCTGCAGACTTACGTGGCTTTCAATTTTCCAATCTACACTTTGCCCAAATAATCTTTCAAGCATTCGTCTTTCAAGCTTGCTGTTAGCCATCTATTTACGCTAATAATAGCACTTTCGCGCGTTCGTGAAAAGCAGACGAAGTCGTTGCATGTGGCATATACGTTACGAAAATAGTCTTTTTTTTCCAAGCGCCGTGAAATTGGAGAGAGAGAGAGTGAGAATATTGCACAATGATCGCGCGCGAGCTTCTAAAATTGGCGACTCTCCAAACGAGAGTGAGAGTTTAGGTATACTTTTCTCTATGCTTTCGTAAATATACAACGAAAGAAGGTACGCACTCGACTTGGATGTTTTTTTAATATTAGGAAAATTTTTCCTTGTGATCTAGATGCGTCAGATTATTATAATTATTATTATTATTCCTTTTAGAAAGAAGGAGTGAATGGAATAATAAATTTATCGTTTGTTATGTATTGTGATTACTAATCAAAGTTGGCTTGCCTTGTTTTAATTATATCCCCGGGAAATTATGCCCCGTTGTGTATAATTTATCCTAAACTCCCAGCGCTATTTTAAATAATAAATGAGTCGCGATTTATTTTCGTAGCTTAGCTGAGCGTTAATTTGGAATTGAAACAAGATAAAGTTTAGTGCGCGTATGTAGGTACACTACACGGAGAACATCTTGGTAGTATACAGCAAACGTTAAATTAATTGATTGTTGGAATGTAACATAAAAAGAATAAATTGAATAAACGATGAAGTAAGTGATTATTTGAATCGACAGACTCTTCGGACATCGTCGACTGCAAGCTGAAGCTGATACTCGGTCTAATATGGACGCTCATTCTGCACTACTCGATCTCGATGCCGATGTGGGAGGGCGACGACTTCGGGCCGCCCGACAAAAATGCCACGCCGAAGCAACGCCTGATGAACTGGATCAAGTCCAAGGTGCCGGACATGCCGATCAACAATTTCACCTCGGACTGGAACGACGGGCGCGCCGTCGGCGCACTCGTGGACGCAATTGCACCTGGCTTGTGTCCCGACTGGCAGTCGTGGGATCCCAAGGATGCCGCGCAAAACGCTGCCGAAGCCATGGGCTTGGCCGACGACTGGCTCAATATTCCTCAGGTACGCGACGACCGCTTCGCTGACAATCGTTCGCGATAGCATTCTCATGCACGGATTGCCTTCACTTCGTAGCTTATCAAACCGGAAGAGATGGTCAATCCGAACATCGACGAGATGTCAATGATGACGTACCTGTCGCAATTCCCTAACGCCAAATTGAAGCCCGGCGCGCCAATCCGTCCACGAACGAACCCCAACAGGTAATGCCGTATCCTCGACAGCTCGCGCTCACGTTAGACGAAACTTGACGAAACTTGACGGAAGCAATAAATGTACCTGTGAGACGCACGCGAAACGACTTGGACAGACCATCAAATATACGTCGAAAAATAATTGTGAATAATTCATGAATCTTGTTTCATGCCTCGAAAAACTCGCAGCGTGCCGCCACCGCGGTAAGTTCTATCTTTCACGCGCTTACGCAGACACACACTCACCTTTCATCTTTACTTTCTCATACGCCCAGCACCGACTTCTCTCTCCTCTCTTCTTGTTCTTTCGCCTTGGCGCATTAATATGTTTGCCGTGATGTTTCTTCCTAATACGACGCTCGCAATTGTCCCGCCGTCCTCGCGGCGCTACACGCACTTTGGTCTGCGACGCACGTTCGCGATGATATTAATTTCTCTGCCAACGCTTCTTTAACATCGCACACGTGCGCTTCGATACACAGCTGACATAATCAGTGCAGGAAGTTGGAGCTTTTAAAGGCTTTCGCGCTCGTCCTTCGCATTCTCAACTTGTACAGTTGTTGACGCAATGTTTTTACATTTTATTTTTACATACAAAACAATATGATCGCCATGTAATATATATGTACATATACTATTATACGCTTATAGTAACCGACTAGCGCTGACCTTGATATTGTTAAATTTACTGTTGTTATGGCAATTGTTGACACGATTAATTTTGTTTAACATTGTACATATACGTCGTACGTACACCCGCAAAACGCGGCAAGTACGAGTCGAACAGTCTGTAGAACGACGGAGATGATTCTTTTTACAGTGTACGAGCTTACGGTCCAGGTATCGAGCCAACTGGCCCAATTATAGAGGCACCCGCCAACTTTTACGTGGAGACCTTCTCCGCCGGCAAAGGAAACGTCGAGGTCAGCGTCGAAGATCCCAAGGGAATTAAGTTGCCGGTAAGCTTTCGTATCTTTCTTGTTATTCCCAACGTATCGCGGGTTTCGTTTCTTGTATACCCTGTCTTTTATTGTCGCGTATCTGCTCGCTTAAGTTGTCCCAGCTTGCGAAGATTTGCTCGGAGATGTCTGTTGTTTACTCTTGTCTTTAGCCGTCTTTTTCTTGGGCAATCTTTGCAAAGTGACGATTTTACGAGCACGAATGCGGTTTGAATTATCGGACTCCTTGTTGCACCTTTTACCCTGTGAAAATAATGCGAAAGATGTACGTTGTTGAGTTTTTATTGATTGGAAAATGAGTAGATAAAATTTTTCACATCTTCCCCCTCTAAATAACCGAAAATAATTTTATCCAAATACTTGCAACATTGCATTGTGAGGTAAAACTTTATCGGAAAAATGTTTATTTTGTTTCTTATTAAAGTTTTATTGTACACAATTTCTTCCATCATAAAATAATTTACCTTGTAGAAAATGTGTCTTTACTAGCTTTTATAGGTAAATCCAGGAAGAGGTAAGGTAAATATCCACGTGAAAGTGGATATTGCCACAATTTCCAATATTAAGAATTGCAAAGCGTGTGGCTCATAACAAAAATCTCTTCTTTTTTCCTATAACACTAACACCTTTTGTAACTTAGTCTGTAAGAGCATCCAAGTTTGTGCCAGAATCAGTTTCACGCTAAAGGCCCAATTTCAGCAAATTGATCGTCTGGATTATAGGTTGACATTCGCTTCAACAATGACCGCAATCTCACGTACTCAGTGTCTTACACGCCGAAGAACGAGGGAATGCACAAAGTGCGTGTGCGTTTCGCGGGTCGCGAGATCCCGAAGAGTCCTTACTCAGTTATGGTCGAAGGCCATGCCGGCGATCCAACAAAAGTCACCGCGAGTGGTCCAGGCTTATTACCCGATGGCGTAGTCATCAACAGGCCAACTTACTTCGACATCTTTACCAAGGATGCCGGCCGCGGAGTGCCCGAAGTCATCGTTCTCGATCCTCAGGTAAGCGTGGGCGAGCGCGGGTATTTTCGATCGCTGAAATTCAATATCTTAGCGCGCGAACAACCGACGCGCCTATCCGGAGATGCAGCTGGACGCTATATATTTTCGTAACTCCTTGCTGTGTTTTTTGCTACTCGATCGGCTAGAAGAACGAGAATGTCCGTGAGGCTGAACGGCGCTCTTTCATTCTTGGCATATTTTTATTATTACTCTCGATCTGCATTTGAAATTAGAGGAATTAATTTTCCAATCACTCGAGCTTCACACGCGATCGACAACATCGGTGAGTCGAAAATTTATTTCACCGACCTTCACCGCATATTTTCATAATTGATGTCACAGAACGTGAATCACAACTTGCAAATGTTTTGCATAGTCCCACAAAATATTTATTGATATTAATGTGCTAAAGTATGCACGCGATACGCGTGAATTCATCGTCAAAGACGTAGAACTTGAACTTCAAGAATAAACAATATGTAAATTTGGGCAACAATAATCAGTGTAAATAACTGCTTTATCGACTAACGATGTATTATCACGTATCACGTTATTTCATAGCATAACGAGAGTGAAAAGTTACGCTCGCGTTGCAACGACGCGCCTTGAGGAAATAATTTACATATTTACGATGCCCTTAGAGATTGTATAGCCCACGCCTCGCAGCGTTCCCGAAGTAAAAAATAACAGCGCTAAGTGGTTGTTACGGTTACAAAGAGCAAAATCTCTTTTCGAAACGTCACAGTTGATTGTTCTAACGAGGCATTCGTTAACGAGCGACAATAATAATGATTTCCAGGGCAACAAGACCACCGTGCCGGTGAAGCTACGCCAGACTTCGCCGGACGTCTGGCGCTGCGAGTACGTTTCGCCAGTGGTCGGTTTGCACTCGGTGAACATCTTCTTCGCCGGCAAACTCATACCCAAGAGTCCGATGGGCGTGCGCGTGGCGCCGGTGTCCGACGCGAAGAAGTGCAAGGCCTTCGGCCGCGGTTTGCTGGCCAACGGCGTGCGCGTCAAGGACGATGCCGACTTTGTGATCACCACCAAGGACGCCGGCGAAGGCGTGGCCGATGTCAGGATCATTGCGCCTGGCGGCGTTAATCTGCCCGCGCAGTACGTAAATCATATTTCATTCTCGTGGTCATTGTTCTCCCTGCCTCGCTCTCACTTTTCCTCAATGAAGCAGCCTTTTAGTTGATGTTTCAAGGATGCGTACGTCCTAAAGTCAAATTCTAAGAGTTCTAACTTGAAACTAATTGTTCTACACAACGTTCAAGCGAGTAATCTTTCCGGTGAGTTTTGTTATCGGTATTTGGTTGCGTGCTAAAATGCGATAATCGTACGGAGTACTTATCAAATGAGCACGTCGAATATTGTCCGTAGTCATGGAAATATCTGAAAATGGATCAAATGTGGACAACATTTGATAAAAAACGCGAATCTATAATTTTCTTCTAGATTAACAAAAGTCGACGACACAACCTACGAATGCCACTACTTCCCAGTGAAAGACGGTCGTCACGTAGTAATGGTGACCTACGGCGGCAAGGAAATTCCGAAATCTCCATTCGAAGTGAACGTTGGACCATACAAAGAATCAGCCATCCGTGTCTTTGGTCCTGGTCTATACGGAGGTATAGTTGGCCATCCAGCTCGTTTCACTGTCGACACTAACGGCGAAACTGGAGCTTTGGGTTTCTCCATCGAAGGCCCATCCAAAGCTAAAATCGACTGCGTTGACAATGGCGATGGCACTGCTGACGTTTCCTACTTACCGACTGCACCGGGACCTTACGCTGTACACATCCTCTGCGATAACGAGGACATTCCAAAGTCGCCGTATATTGCTAAAATTGTACCCCAGAGCAATTTCCACCCCGACAAGGTACTTAAATATCAATTGACTATTGCGATGATTTACTCTTCTCTATTTCGTGATAAAAATATTACATATTCCAGGTGGAAGTGCACGGACCTGGTATCCAACCGGATGGAGTAAAGAGCGACAAGCCAACGAACTTTACGATCGATGTGAGGAAAGCCGGCCAAGCTCCACTCGAAGTTGCCATCAAAGATGCATTCGGTAGAGATGTACCTGTCAAGCTCGATGACAAACGGGATGGAACGATACAAGCCCATTACAAGCCAACTTCCGGCTCACAGCATGTCGTCATGGTACTGAGCTGTCTCTTTTTTATAGAAAATAACTCTATGTTATTTGAACATTTAATCTAAATTCGATATGTTACTTGACGCACACTGTTTTTTCTTTAAAGTAGGCTGGATATACTGATTAATCGTAAAAAAAATGTTAAATAACAGGTAAATTACGGAGGAGTCGCCACGAAGAAGTCACCCTACCGTGTGAAGGTCGAAGCACCATTAAATCCATCATTGGTTAAAGCTTATGGTCCAGGACTCGACAAACCGGTCAAGACCAATACACCGACTCACTTCAATGTGAATTGTCGAGAAGCCGGTCCCGGTGATCTCCAGGTAGACATGAAGACACCCGACAATCATGATTTACCGATCCAACTAATTGACAACGAGGATGGCACTTATACTGTCGACTACATTGCACCCGAGCCAGGAACTTACACCGTCAATCTCAATTACGGAGGCTTGAAAGTACCACACAGCCCGCTCAAAGTTAATGTCCAACCGCACGTCGATGTTTCGAAAGTCAAAGTCACCAATCTATCGCCCAGTAAGTATTGCAATACTATCTATACAGTTCCGCTAGAGAGGCTACTGCAGTTGCGCGACCGTATTTTAATGGCGAAATGTATAAATATAAACTCTCGGATTCACGCATCTATGCGGAATCCAGCAGAGTCCATGACGAGCTCTCTCTCTCTCTCTCTCTCTCTCTCTCTCTCTCTCTCTCCCTCTATTTTCGGTAACGAAGAGAAAAACGAAGAGAGTCTTCCTAAAATTAAAATTACGCCAACGAGAGCCGGAGAAATTTTCTAAAAATAACATTTCTGGAAATATTCATTGGAGAAGAACTCCTATCGATTGCGAAATGTTTCTGGAGTGGATTGTGCGACGCCACAAAAATCAACGGCGACGAAATGCACGCGACACTCGCCCTTTCGTAAATAACTAATCAACTACCTAACGTTTAATTACAGATGCGTGCTTGTACCAGCCTACCGAGTTCACGATCGATACTCGCGCGGTGCCAAAGGTGAAGGGCGAGCCGGAGCGCATCTTCGTTGGAATTAACAATTCATCTGGCACAAACACTGAGAAAGTAATCACACCACACGCGGACGGCACTTATCGCGTCAATTACACACCGATCGTCGACGGCAAGCATAACATCGAAGTGCTGTACGATAATATCCCGGTGCCGGGATCACCGTTCAATGTCGATGTCGTAAAAGTCAGCAATCCCAAAAAGTGCCACGCATTCGGGCCTGGACTTCAGAGGGCTATCGTGGATAAGGCCAATTACTTTACTGTTGTAACTAAAGGTGATTGCTTCATTCGTTTGCTTTGTTAGCTGCTGTTGATTGTGGACAGCCAAATTCATTTATTCATTGAAACTTTTCAGAGGCTGGAACGGGTGGTCTTGGTCTAGCCATCGAAGGACCAAGTGAATCCGTGGTAACCTGCAAAGACAACTGCGACGGGACATGCAGCGTTGAATACGTGCCATACGCAGTTGGCGATTATGACATCAGCATTAGGTTCGCTGATCAGCATATTCCCGGTTCGCCATTCAGAGTTACGGCTGAAAAGCCTGTGGGTAGACGTGTCTTATTGTATCGATCGAATTATGAATCGATAAATTAATTACATTTGTTTCTTCGTGACAGAACGATAGCAAGGTGACTGCCCATGGTCCGGGAATCCAACCGCAGATGGTGCACGAAGGTGTTCCAGCAACCTTCACCGTAGACTCCACCAAGGTATCAAATGCTCAACTCGAGGTCAAAGTGAAGACTGATCGAGGTTCAATTGGCAAGCCCGAAATCAAGAGAATCCGCGATGGTATTCACGAAATCACCTACATGCCATCTCAAGCTGGTAGCACTTGTCAAGTAGATGTGAATTATGGCGGACAACCTATCCAGGGCAGTCCGTTCAAGGTCAAAGTTGAACCCAGTTGTGCGGCTAACAACGTGGTGCTTTCGGGTCCTGGAGTGTCGCCTGTTACGACTGCCTCGTTCCCTGCTGACTTTGTCATCGATGCTTCCAAAGCTGGGAACGGCGACTTGGAAGTGCAAGTGTTGGTGAGTCATAAGACTCTTGATTCAACGAGCACGGCTATCGAGATGAATTGGTATTAAAGAAAAATCTGGTTGACAGGGTCCCGATCAAACGCCACGCAAGGTGGGCATTCAAAAAATTGGCGACGGCAAGTACAAGGCGACTTACTTGCCGGACGACTGCGGTCGATACAAAGTCAACGTGAAGTACGGCGGCAAGGAGGTGCCCGGCAGTCCAGTCAACGTGCAGAGCGTATCAACCGGTAAAGCCGACGAGTGCAAGATCAAGGAGGGCGTGCAGCGCACCCTCGCTCAGGGCGAAGAGTACTGCATTACCGTCGATACGCAGAACGCCGGCCGCGGTGCCGTTACCTGCCGCATACGCTCTACCTCCGGAAGGTAAGTTCGATCTCTCGCGCTCTCATTTTCAACTTTTTATGCGCTCCGCTATTTCGAGAAAAGCCAACGTTTGATTATTGTTGGAGATGCGATGCGTCTCTCTATGACATTAGCCGACAGATACACGAGGAAGATTTGCCGAGAACCTTTGGCAGATATTTCTGTTTAGCACACTTCATTTACGGTGTGTCGTGAGACATTGCAAAATTCCGACTGACGACAATGTCGGCTGTTCAATCAATGTTCCTTAAATAAGTCATGGCGCGCGCGAGATCGCAATCTGCAACAACTTATATTCGCTCCACGCATTAGCGTTTTCAAAGCGATCAACTCTTTTGCCAGCAATATTCGAGAATCAGTCGACTTTCGCGGTTTCGCAAGCTATTGAACATTTTCAATTGAATTTAGATGGGACTTGTTCTAATTAACTATTAAAAATATCTGTGTTTCATGTTTCGTAAAACAACTAGATTGGATTTTATTCTCGCATACTGCCTGCGCATCAACGCTTTAGTACGTACGCGACAGATATTGCCAAAATTTTAGTAGACCTTTAAAGATAAATATTGTGTACATGGAAAAAGCGAAATATCCAAAAGTTACGTAAGATAAAAAATTTAGGTTTAATATCGACTGATGATTAATATTGAAAGCAGGAACTTTAAAAATAACGTTCTTAACTCTAACATCTTTTAGTTCTATTTCCATTAAGTTAAATCCTTCATTCCAATAAATATGACTATAAAACAATCGTTAATCTAATAAATAACTGTCAAAATTTATCGTTATTCGTATTCACCGTTCACCGATGCCAGTTTACAAGAGCTCATCAATTATCTTGCCCAAAAAGCGGTCTTCGCAAAATGCAACTTTCGTGTCACAAATGACATAAATACCATGACACTAGCAAGCATAACAGCGAAGGAAGCAAAGAAGGAAAACAGCTAGCTGACGATTCGAACATACTTTGCTGCTCGCAAGACTGCTTTCGACGCGAGTGCCAAAGTCGCTGCCAGATCAGAATCCGAAATCTCGGCGCAATGTTCAACAATAAAGCGTTACACGTGTCCGAACAATTAGCCACGTATTTGATCCTCCTCGCAGCGACGATCAATTCGGCTGTCGTGTAACAGAGTTGGAAGCGCGTTAATTAAGCGCGCTGGGAAAAAGGGAAAATATTGTCGAAGGCCGGAAATGCATTTTATTTTGAGCCTCATTTCGCATTGTAGCGAATAAAGTAAGCGCGCGCGCGCGCCAAAATCCAAAGTGCATGGCAGCTGGCCATTTGACAAGCGAGCGTTGCGCCGCCGTCTCGCTAAGGCGTTACCTTTCTGCTACGCGTCTTCGTCATTTTGCTGCTATTGCAAGCGCTCGCGGTTCGACGGGTCGTTTGGTACTTTTGTACGTCGTTTGCTACGGTCTAGCTAATTAAACATTCGCGTCGTCGATCAACGGAACGCCCGGCGCGAAGTTAACGAGGACATAATTAGGAGGATTGAGCAGCTGGTATTTGGTAATAATCTTGTATTTTTATGCGTGCCGAATAGCAAATTGCCACAGTCAATTTTGCGATGCTCGTCTTTTTTGGTTTTTTCCGCGAAAGAAAAACACGAGCGAGTGGATGGCGAACGATTTCGCGAGGAAAAAAAATTCGCTGCCTCTCGCAATCGAGAATTCTTTGATGTGCTGCAAAAATTATCTTGGCTCGGCCGACATTGAAAGCTCCCCGAGAGTTTATAATAAACCGTATGCCGGCATAAAAGCCGACTAGCGTCAAAATTGAAGCCGATTGATTTACCGCTGTGGAAGTTATCAAAGTCGCCAGCTAAAGAAACACACGAGGGTTCCCAGTAAAAGCAAGCTTCTTGCGCACATGCCGTCTTTCTCGCTGGAAACTGAATGCGCGTCGAAACTGGCTCTATGTTGCAGCGAGGACGTCGACATCGACATACAAGACAACGCGGATGGAACGGTAGACATATTCTATACGGTGGAAGACGCCGGCGACTACACGCTGAGCATCAAGTTTGGTGGTCAACCTGTCCCGAACGGACTCTACACCTTCAAGGTAAAGTTGCTTTTCGCCTGGTAGTAGCGTTTTAGATGTTTGTCGCGCTCGCTGCTACCGCTGTGCCTGTACGTGCTACGTGGGTGGTGGGGCGCGGGCGGCTAACTATAGAGGCTTGGGTGATTGTCGCCTGATGTGCCTTCCAGTTCACTACGAAGGCTCAAGTCAAGTGCACACGCGTGATATATACATATTAAGTATTGGACCGCATTGATTCAGCGGAAGTTGCGCACGTAAGTCGACACGCATCTTGCACTCTGCCGCTACTGCCGTCCTCAGCGTTCGTCGTCTTAATTTTACACCTATCTCGCTTGCGCGCTCTCTCACTCTTTCGCGGTCCAGTGCGCGCGAGACGCGAGCCTCCGCACGCAACATTGTCATTCATTATCATTCCGAACAGGTGTCGTTTGCCGTGCACGCGCTTTCCGTGCAACTCCTCTTGCATCGCAGCGATGATTTTCGTTGGTCTCACGAGCTCGTAAACCCCCAATTCGTCGAGCCTCTCAATCCCACGGGCGGTTACGCGTTCGTCGACTAAACTCAACTGGCCGATGAATACTTGCGCGGCAGGCGCTGCAACTCGCAAATGACTGACGGCGAGTAGCCGAGCCGAGTGTCGACATTCCATCCAGCTGGGCAAATTGCATTCCCCTCTCGCGGGCGCTCGGTCGCGCCGGGCGAGGATCGCCCCGTCGTCGACGCGAGCAGCCCGTGGGTGCGTTACGGTGAGCAACCGCCGCGCATCGCCGACGAGCGTGCGCTAATCGAGCTCTCGCGATCGCGTTATGCGCGCCGATCTGTGCTTCGGCTCACGCGCGCGCTCGCCCCGCCCGTGTGGCGTGTTGTGAAACATTATCCGCGTGTGGCCCTCGCGAAGTAAACTATTTCGAGCTTTCCCAAATTTACAGGCGTGCGCGCGTATCGGCGGCTGGCTACGCCGAAAGCTCTCTCTCGCTCTCTCTCTCCCGCTCTTTGACGGGCGGTGCTGATGCTCCATCTCGACCGCACGGCAATCGCCAGATGCCGTTCACCTGCCCTTATCGAGGATTCATTCAGGCGCGGGCGCGAGACTTTAATGAACTAACTCGGCGATCGCTCGACCATTAATCACGCGGCCGCGCGGCCAGAATAATTAGCGCGGTAGTCCTCCTTATATATCCCGTTGGAATTCGTGGCAAGAGACACGGGCCGAACAGCTGCGGCGGCGGTGGCGGCGGCGGCGGCGACGACCACGACGGCTATTCGCACGGCCGGTCGGAGTCTTTCGAAAATAGCTGGGCCCAGCTGTCGCTGATGTCGCCCGCATGGGCGTATCGACGAAGCGGGCGGCGATCTGAGCGTCGATCGACCAGGGAGAGATCGGGACGCGGAAATAGCCACTTTTCTCCTCGGGACGCGCATTCCGTCTGCAGCGAGCTGGCTTTCTCGTGATATTTTTACGACTGGCACTTTAAAAACCAAACGACGGCTCGCGTTATTCATTCTATTTATAAGCGTAATGAGCGGTAACTTCGATTATTTTTACGTGAAATGCCGAGCGAAGCGCGCGACTTGCTAGGACGCGTCCCGAACGCGAGGAAAGTCGGGGAATCGCGCGTTCCTGGACAGGCGCGATCGAGGAGCTTCGCACGGGTGTTCTCGCCTTGTTTACATCTGCCGATTGCAAGCGCCCCGCAATGCAAAAAGGCTCTGGCGAGAGGCACTACAATAGAGAGACGCTGGTGGGAGTGGCGACGCCGAGTGGTGGCGCTCTATTATAGTCGTGTGGGCTGCCGCTGCCGAGGGGGGCAAATTCGCATTGTCGCGCGCGCGATTTCGGGTTAGTAGTAATTCCGTGGCGCGATGCAGCAACGATTCTGCTCCCGTGCATACTAAACTACGCATAATAGGCAACTAGACGTACGCGTGCACGGTGATTTTAACGAGTGCCGAGTGTGATTATTCGACTCGTGGCGCGCATCCACACGTTCGTGAGTATAGTAACGTGACAATGCCATTCTTTGCTACCTCTCAGACCGATATCGGACGACGCCTCGAGCTAAATCCAGACGAGATCTCCGTGAAAACAGAAAGAGAAAAAAAAAAGAAAAAGAAAAAAAAAACGGAAAGGAAAACGGTTTATTTCCGAAACCCGCGAGTTCGCGAATTTATCGGCCCGTTTATTTTTCGTTCTCCGTTCCGGGCGAAAGTCGACGCTTTCTCGCATTATGCTGGGAGATCGGGCGAGTCGTGCGCCGCGATTAAATAAGTTTCGACCACGCCATATTTTCGATGTGCGTGCGCGCGTGCCGCAGACACGACCTGATTCGCGTGACCATGGAATGCTGCGTGGAATCGTGTCGCTGGTCAATGCTGCAGACCCAATTTACACGACACAATTCGTCGCACAATGCCGCCAAAGTCTGCCGCTCGTTGCTCTTTCGTTCGATCTCCTTGCCATGTCGAGACGAGAGAGCGCCCAACGGATGCGTTCGGGAGATCGCGAGAGCGAAATTGCGCCGTACTTTTGACGCCGAGTAAGATAGATTTACGACGAGGCTTCGCGTAAACAGTGTATCGCTAAGGAAAATCAAGTCGGAGCTGAGAACTGCTTGGTTCGATTCTTCGCGTTGGCCGAATTTTCGCGCGCGCGCGGCGATCAATCAAGCCCGCGAGTACTTTTGCTGGCGTTATCTAGCTTCTAAAACATTTATCCGAACTCGATACCGAAAATAACTTCTCTCTCGCGCCTACGGCAAATGTCGTTTTGCGCGTCAAAGCGTGCAAGTCCAAACGTACACAGCTTGTTTTCGAATTGCACATGTTTATTCTTAAAAGATTTTTTCATTCCAATGACTTCTTATTCCGACGGAAGAGCATCTGCTAGAACGGAACGAACGTTTTGACAAAAATAAGCCTGTAGTTTCCCATCATTAGAGTGTCGATATTCGACAATCGCGCACGTTGAAACGGAGTTTCCCATCGTTAAAGCGTCGAGCGGAAATAGATCGGAACCCAACCCCCCTTTTTATTAATGCGAGCAAGTTTTCTTCAGCTCACTCGGCTTGGCTCGCTTTCGGCGTGAGCACGAGCATTGAATCTTTTAACGATCTTGCAGCTTGCTAAAAATCGCAAGTTTTCACGCTTGCGACTGTACAATCCATCTCCCTAATATCTCATTAAGAAAACTGTAAAATGTCATTATAGGCATCCGAAGAGTACAGGTCAACCAGCAAAACTCACAAGACACGCCGCGGCCGTCGTAGCAACAAGGAGCACATAGTCGAGGAGCACAGCACCAGCATCCAAGAGAGTTACACCAAGCGTAGCACCACTAGCAGCAAACAAAAGTTCAACGTCATCCATCTCAATAGTATCCCAGTACCACCAGTCAGCGGCGGCAAATTCGCATGTAAGTCTGCGTCGTCCTCGGTTTTATTTTCGACCTGCGTGCTATGAGTCACTAACTCACCCCCTCGTGCATTGATATTTTTGGATGCTCCGCGTGTCTCCGCCCGACGATGATCCCCCCTCCCCCTTGTTATTGAGTGTAATAAGCTTATCGACGGTCAAATATCGTGAACCTCGTGAGAAAACGACTCAGCCTCGTCGCGAAACAACGCCAGCGGTTATGAAAATACACGTGTGAGCGCCGTATGAATCTTAGTTGCGTATGAAAAAATTCCCGAGGGATTAATTGTTCATCCAGATTTATTGCAACATTAAGAAGACGTGCGTGTGTTGGAGGACGCTTGCGAAGTTTACTCGATAGGTTTTCGTTTAAGCTAGTCCTCTGCTTTCCAATTTTCGTTCAGAACTTCTTCGCGAAGATACTCTCGAAGACGAATTTGACCGAGGGTTTCATATTATCATCAAAAAAAGTAAATTGAAAAATACCCGCAAAGAAAATCAGAGGAAAAAAGTAAACGAAAGGGCGTCATGCAGATCGCGGAGGCCTTGATGATGCAGCCTCGATAAAATATACGCGAGGCCTCGAGTCAATGAGAATCAGCGCTAGCGAGCGAGCGAGCGCAAGCTCCATTAATCATAACGCCAGCGCTCGTCCGCCTAAGAGTAATACCATGCTTTTTTTTCTTTCTCGCGTTTCTCTTGGCCCGAGAAAGACGATTTCCTGCCTCGATGAATATTTGTAGGTGTCTCGCATTGTAGTACATTTTTTTTTCTAATTTCTAATCTCAAAGTTGTACTGGCAGTAGTAGTGGTCAGTGCATTGTCCGACCAGAAGCTTGGTCTGCCGCACAGCTGGTGCTCGGCGGCAGTAAGCGGGAAAATCTGTTTGTCATCGGAACAACATTTTTCGTGAATAGTTTCCAATGACATTCATTAATTACCGAATATTAATTTAATTATCGAGTTGCCGTTTTTCCAAATAATCAATGGCCCGTACGATAGATATATATTTGTAGGACTTCCATTCGGTCAAATTCAGTTTGAAATCCACTGGTTCATTTTACACGAATTTTGCCGAAATATCATCTGCACGGCGGATATCGATAGGGTTGCAGCGCTCGGCAGCGAAAACAGAAGAGTTGCGCGTAAGCGAGTTGGATATCGAGTATAACAGCGTTCGATACGCGTAGCATGCGGCACGGTGGTCCGTTGGCAAGTGCGCGTCGGCTAATAAACATAAGACGAGCGCGCGCGCGCGCGCGCGACGACGAGTCGGATGATATATCGCGGACCTCTGGCGTGTGCCGCGAGCGCGCCTGCCCACACGTCCGCTCTGGCTCGCGATCCCTTCTCTCTCTATCTCTCTCGAGCGGCGCTGGCCTAATCTTAAACTCTGGAAAAAAAGTCCGGCGACTCGCGGCCTCAGTCTCGCGACGGATATGCCCCGACGCTGAGCCTGCTGCCTTCGCGAACAGCGTCTGCCCGATAACCGCCGCCGATCGCTGCCTGTCCGGTGGCTCGGTTCGCTCGTTGGTGCGCGGGCTCATTGTCATCCGCGGTGCAGCGGCGCAATATAAATACGGACGCGAGCAAGCCGCGCTGGCGCAGTGCGCTGATAATAGCACCCCGAGCACCATTCGCGCGGACATGACGACGCAGCTCGTCGCTCCCGAGCAAGTGGCCACGTTCCGCCGGGATTTCTTCAAGTCCGTCACCTACAGTGCCCTCGACAGGCCCGAAAGGTCCATTTGCTATCCCGTCGAGTGCTCGCAGCTCGCCGACCACGACGATATCACCCCTGGACTGGAATTTCGACCACTGATTTTCCAAAGCCTCTTTTACGTGCGCACCCGAACAGGTCGGTTATCATTTTGCCAAATGCGTATGCTATTTTCGGAAAAGTGCCGAATCTGTCTGAACGCGTAATCTCCGCGTAACGCCGCTTTTTTCCCCGCGTAATGTTTTTTTTTCTTTGAAATTCGTCAAATCAGCGTGGTGCGTCCTCGAAAAGCGGGAAATATTTACATCTCTTGCGCAAAAACTTTTATTAATATCGCGCACTTGCATATTGCATTTTCTGGGTTTATATTTGATGAAAGCACACAATTTCCAAACGTAATGAATGGCTGGGCAGGCTGCTTTAGCGAATAAATGCGACGGAAAAAATAAAAGGGCCGTCAAGCTTTTTGCGCGTGTGTTACGTGATGCAGCAGCAGAAGCACAGCGAATCTATTAAAATTTTCGGTTGCGTAACCGCTGCGCGAAAGGGTTGTCGGCTGGATCAATTTTGTCTGAAAATAGCTTGGCAAAATTGACGGGATGATTTACGATTAAACACTTCAGTGGTATTGTCGATTGACAACAATGTACCCCATTTAACCAAAAATGAAAGCGCAGGACAAAAACAAATTAAAAAAAATAAATTGCCAGGGGTATGTCGTAATCCCGACGAAACGAATCCATCGCGAAGCGAAACCGTCGTTTTTTTCTTCTTATTTGCCCACTCGGCGATTGTGAAATCGAGCGCTTGGAAGTGTATTTTTTTGGCGATCGTTCAAAAATGGTCCCCTTAGCGCGGTCGCTTTATAATCCTGCGCGCCTTATAGCGACATACAAGTCGCAGAAGTCGCGCTCGAGAAAACAAAAAAAGCACAGAAGCAATGTTGTAACGAGCCGTGTGCGCGCGCTCGCTTCTAATTTTAGCGGAAGTAAAGATGCCCAGCGGCAACGTAGACAAGCCCGTGATCGAGGACAATCATGACGGCACGGTATCCATCAAGTACGATCCCAAAGAGGAAGGGCTGCACGAGGTCTACGTCAAGTACAACGGCGAGCACGTCCAAGGTAAGAAGCGTGTCCGCGTGCGCCTGCGTACGACTGGAGCACATGTACAGAACAGCTAATTAATAGCGGTTTAAACGCTTAGAGATAGAGAGAGAGAGAGAGAGAGACTGAATGCGCATATAGAGACGCGGCCATTTAGACGTCAGCGCCTTCTATCTCGGGCGCGGAGTCTCTGCGCGCACGCCACCGCCTTTTACTTTCACATCTCCATTCATTTCTGGCTCTCGCGCTTTCGGCTTGTAATCGCTCTTACGCTTACTCTCGCATAAATTAATTAAGACGCGCGCGCACGCTGAAAGCAGGTAGTTAGCTTTGAGTTCGGGTCTGCTCATTAGATTTCACGTCAATTTATTTATATAACCGCTTCGCTAATTACTACGGGTATGCGTATATGCGGATGCATACACTTAACGTCTACTTTGATTGACGCGCACTGCCAAGCTATTGGTCGAAGATCAATGCATGTGTCTGCAAGGACTTGCAATTAACAATCGGTTCGACTTGCCAAGTGGTGCCAGGCGCCGAGCCTGACTGTACACGTGGCGTAATAGCAAAAGTCGTGAAGCAAGTAGTGAGCAGCCGGTTTGGTCAGACCTGTAAACGTTCTCGTTGTCTTCGCGAGCACTCGCCAACTAACGCTTGCGTCACGCAAAAAGCGAGCCCTCTAATTAACGGTCAATGAAAAACCCAATGAATGACTTTAGGCTCGCCGTTCAAGTTCCACGTGGATTCGCTATCAAGCGGCCACGTGACGGCCTACGGTCCGGGCCTGATTTACGGCGTATGCGGCGAGCCGGCAAACTTTACAATCTCAACGAAAGGTGCCGGCGCCGGTGGGCTGTCGCTCGCGGTCGAAGGACCGAGTAAAGCCGATATCTCGTGCCATGATAATAAAGATGGCACCGTGTCGGTATCGTATTTACCAACGGCGCCTGGTGAATACAAGATCAGCGTCAAGTTTGGCGACAAGCACATCAAAGGCAGCCCTTACCAAGCCAAGATAACCGGTGAGTCCGATTAGTTCCTAAGTCGTATCTCGTTTAATTTGACAAAGTGCGTTCATATACATTTTGGTCGCATCAATAACGGACATTGGTTAAATTGGTTATCAATGACAAAGGACTTATGTTATATCTATCAATATAATTGTTTTTCGCAGCCTCGTTCCACTAGGGATCCCAACGTCGCTTATTATCTGGAGGTTGTATCGCTACGCGCTAGTCAAATCAACAAATTGCAACAATTATTTCGCTTTCACATTATTTTTCATTACTATTATTAGTATTTTACTTTCAATATTCTTCGGCATATCTTGAGTTTCTCGATGAAATTGTTATATTACACATGCGTTAATCGAAAGCAAGTATATATGTACTAGTAGTGTGTCCAATAAAGGATTCAATGTATCTTTTTTCGAAATCATTGCGCGTTCATGTTATTGATCAATTTTCAATCCGATGTTCACGTTAAGGTGAGTTGCTCACGTTGATTTAGCTAGCACGAAGGATTGAAAAAAGTTTTTGTGGAAAAGCTATTTTTCAACTCTTTATAACTCATTTAATCCTATTACAGTTAACTTTTTATGCTTATTAATATTTATCACGCATTATGTTTGTCATAACGTTTAACACTGTGTCAGACCCACATTCTAGGAGTAAATTTTCAAATCTCAAAAGCGCTCCTCGAATTATTTCGGCCATTATTCCGTTTAAGTGTAAAAGTAAGAAAAATTCAGTTTTAACTTGTTATCGAAGCCGATTATTTGCCAACGGAGTGTGTATAAAACTTGACGACTCGCATATCTCAATTTTGTAAAAGTTGATTGTCTAAAACTCAGCGGCTCAAAATAGAAAAGTGAGAAATGTATAAGTTGAGTAAAGCAAAAAAAGTAAGCGAACGAACGAGTTATACGGTTGACAAAACAAATCCGTGATAAACGAAATAACCATTGCATTTGTCTGGCGCCACGATTGTTTCTCTGCGCTGTCCTTCTGTCTCGAAGAACCTCCAATAATCTGGGCCTTTATTCGGAATCTGCAGGCGAGGGCCGCAAGCGCAACCAAATCTCGGTGGGCTCCTCCTCGGAGGTGCAGCTGCCGGGCAAGGTGAGCGACGCGGACATTCGCTCGCTGAACGCCTCGATCATAGCACCGAGTGGCCTCGAGGAGCCGTGCTTCCTGAAGAAGATGCCCAGTGGCAATATCTGCGTGTCGTTCACACCGCGCGAGGCTGGCGCTCACGAGGTGTCGGTGAAGAAGATGGGCCACGACATCGCCAACTCGCCGTTCAAGATCGACGTGAAGCAGCGCGAGGTCGGCGACGCTAAGAAGGTGAAAGTGTCGGGACCGGCGCTCAAAGAGGGCCGCACTCACGCCGACAATACTTTCCTGATCGACACGCGCAACGCCGGCTACGGCGGTCTGTCGCTGTCCATCGAGGGCCCGAGCAAAGCCGAAATTCAGTGCAAGGATAACGACGACAGCACGCTCAGCATCTCGTACAAGCCTACCGAGCCGGGCTACTACATCATGAACCTCAAGTTCGCCGATCATCACGTCGAGGGCTCGCCGTTCACGGTCAAGGTGTCCGGCGAGGGGAGCAACCGCCAGCGCGAGAAGATCCAGCGACGCCGTGAAGCTGGTAAGCGATCGGAAGACACCAATGTCCCGGGGCGCGAGACTAAGCGGAAACGAACGATTGCTGTTTGCCCGCAGTGCCAATTACCGAAGTCGGTAGCCAGTGCAAGCTCACCTTCAAGATGCCGGGCATCACGTCGTTCGATCTTGCCGCTCAGGTCACGTCGCCGGGCGGCATCACCGAGGACGCCGAGGTCAAGGAGGTCGAAGACGGACTCTACGCGGTCGCTTTCGTGCCCAAGGTGAGGGGTCCGTCGGCCGACGCCGGCGACTCTCTTTGCCGGCCGACTGCCACGCGAAACTACATTGGCTCGCGCGTTCCAACAGGAGCTAGGAGTGCACACCGTGTCGGTGCGCTACAAGGACATCCACATCCCGGGCTCGCCGTTCCAATTCACGGTCGGCCCGCTGAGGGACGGCGGCGCGCACAGAGTGCACGCGGGCGGCCCAGGCCTGGAGCGTGGCGAGCAAGGCGAGCCCTGCGAGTTCAACATCTGGACGCGAGAGGCCGGAGCCGGCACGCTGGCCGTGTCGGTGGAGGGCCCGAGCAGGGCTCAAATCGACTTCAAGGACCGCAAGGACGGTAGCTGCTACGTCAGCTACACCGTGACCGAGCCCGGTAAGGTCGGCCGGACGACGAGGCGCAGCCGCTGCACGGATCGCTTCGTCGGCTCTCGAGCCGCTCTGGGAATTCGAGAGCGAGAGAGTGGGAGATCGAGATCAGTGTCTCATCGCGAGCTTGTCTTCCTCCGACTTTACGCGCGCGCGGGCTCCCGAAATACCGACGGCTATATTTGTTAAGGTGGCGTTTCATATTTTCGCCCGCGTGCTCTCTCGCAGCGGCGGGCGCGCGATCATCATCGCCGCCGCTTCGATGCGCCGGTTATATTTGGATCGGCTGTCGCGCGCGCGCGCGCGCGCCTGCTCGTACAGAAGGACGCCAAGAGAGGCGGCGAATTAGACGCGAATACGCGCTGCCTCTCCTCCTGCTTTCTCGCTCTCGGCCGAGGGTCCTCGCGCGCCGAATTCGTGCCCGCCTTCGGGCTCGGATTCGAACGACCGAATGACCGGCCTTGCACGACCACGCTGTTTCATGTTGCCGTCTGATTTCTAGGCGAGTACAGGGTAGGAATAAAGTTCAACGACCAGCACATCCCGGACTCGCCGCACAAGGTGTACATCGCCCCGGCGATGGGCGACGCGCACAAGCTCGAGGTCGCGCAGTTCCCCGACGGCGGCGTGCAGCAGGACAAACCTTACACATTCCTCGTTCGCAAGAACGGCGCTTCCGGCGAGCTCGACGGCAAGGTAAATTGTCAGCTGGAAGTCAGCCACGGCGACCCGTCGTGCTCGAGGTTGACGGGCGTGCGAAGCGAGCCATTGTGAGCGGCCCGATTTGCGCGAGTCACTGCCAAGAAATCCGCGCCTCGCGTTTAATTCTCAAAATTAACGACTCGCGCGCACTACGATGCGCGTGTACTCTGGTCGTGCTGGCGATTTGCGCGCGCGCGCGCGCGTGTGTGTTTCTGTCTCTCGCACGGCCCTCGTAATGTTCTTGCGCAATGCCAAATCCCAAGGCGCGCGCGACGACGGCGACCAGAATAACCCGCACGTGGGTGCGATTCTGTGAATGCTTTCTAAGTAAATTGACACACTTTCGCCACTTGTAATTGATGCCCGCCTGCCGGGCGTTTCGTGTATTCCCGAGTGGCCAACAGATTCTTTTCGTTCTCGTTTTTCTCTTTTTCTTGTCCTTTGTTTTTTACTCTTTGCCAATCGCGCTGCGATGCGCGGCCGCTTCCCGAGCTGCAACGCGAGAGAGACAACAAAATGCAGATTTACGACGACAGCCAGAGGATGATTTACTGAAATTTTTTATATCTTTTCGACGAACTTGCATTCGCGCGATCTTGAAGCTTCGATGGAATAGCCGGTTCGTTCATTGAGAAAACGCAATAGACTGATTTGGCGTGCTCGCGGTGACTTGCAGATCGTGTCACCAAGCGGCATCGAGGACGACTGCTTCATCCAGTCGATAGACTCGGAGGAGTACTCGGTACGCTTCATGGCTCGCGAGAATGGCATTCACAACATCTACCTGAAATTCAATGGGGTGCACATCAACGGGAGTCCCTTCCGCGTGAAGGTCGGTAAAGTGGACGCCGACCCGGCGGCCATCCACGTCCACGGCAACGGCATCGAGAAAGTGAAGACCGGCCAGAAGGCCGACTTTATCATCGACACGTGCAACTCGGGCGCTGGCGCTCTGGGTGTGACGATCGATGGGCCGAGTCGCGTTGCCATGGACTGCACCGAGGTCGAGGAAGGCTACAAGGTCAGGTACACGCCACTCGTGCCCGGTGATTATTACATCAGCATCAAGTACAACGGTTGTCACATTGTCGGATCGCCCTTCAAAGTCACCGCCACCGGTGAGATTTTTTTCTTTCCGCGAGCGAGTATCTTGTGAACTCTCGCGAATGTCGGCGTTTGCTTGCAATCGTAGGCAAAGACTTGGCTGAGCGAGGATCGCAGGAGACGAGCTCGATCGTCGTGGAAACAGTGCAGAAGTTCGCCAAGGCCAAGCAGATGGGCCCCGTGCTGCCGCACTTCAAGTCCAACGCCAGTAAAGTCACGAGCAAGGGTATGGGTCTGAAGAAGGCTTATATCGGCAAAACCAATCAGTTTACCGTTTGCGCCAGCGACGCAGGTTGGTCCTCTCTTCGACCCCGCGACCCCCCCCCCCCCCCTTGAGCTCACGCAACATGACAAAACTTTGCTCGCGTTTCAGGCAACAATATCCTGTTCGTCGGCTTGCACGGACCGAAAGGTCCGGTGGAGGAAGTGCTGGTTAAGCACACGGGCCGCAACAACTACAATGTGAATTACGTGGTGCGTGAACGGGGCGAGTACATCGTCCTCGTCAAGTGGGGCGACGATCACATTCCTGGCTCGCCCTTCAAAGTCGACGTCTAGATCCAGCGACATCTCGCTCGCTCATCTCGCGGACAAATTAACAACAAATCATCACTCACCTCGACTTTTTTTTTTGAACAAAAGAAAAAGAACGAACGAAGTACGAGTCGACGCCGCCGAAACCCGGCGCCGATGATCTGTGTGTTTTCGTTTTACCTTTATTACCTTGATCTTCATTTTATCTCTACTCTTTTTTTCTGTTCGTTTCTTTTAACGTGTAATTATTATTATTATATACATATGTATGATGTGTACAGGACAAATGTCGGCGGCCCTCAAGGAGAGTCAATTTTTGTCGTTTTATTATTATAATATATACATATATTTTATCCGCGATAGTCCTCGTGTGCACAGGCGAGGAATGACGTATTTTAATCTCCAATGGTGCCTTATATATACGGTTTTTAATAAAGAAAAAAAACAGAGAAGGGGGTGAGATGGATAATCAAAAATAAAGAATGATAAAAGCAACGTCACTGTTCAACACGCGAAGGCCATATTAAATATAGTTTTCTTAAGAGCAATCAATGACACACCTAATCATTTTATTGGATGATGATGATGATGATGATGATGATGATGATGATGATAATCCACGCATTATATAGATTATAAATATACATCGCATATTGTTTATGATATATGATTATATAGGAAATAAAGCTAATATATTTATTAAAGAAAGAACAGGCTGCTTTGGACTTGATACAATATACTTTTCTCTTCATCCCTCATTCTCCTCCTATTTACCAAAGCAATCTTTTTCCCTGGCGGCGCGCGGTGCAGACAGCATACATACGTATAAAGCCCCAGCTCTCTCATTCGAGCATTTGCCTTGGTTTTTCATTTTATTGCCCGGAGAGAGAATTTTCCGCCGGCAGAGACAGAGTGCGGGTGTGTGAGTGAACGAGAGAGGACGGGAGGCGGAGGAAGAGGGAAAAAACTCAAAGTGGGGATCGCCATGTCAGGATAGGATGGTGGGCGGTACCAAGGATCAAGCTCACCTTCCAGTGCGCGACTCGCGGCGCGCGTAACGCCCCCGGATCCTCCACGGAGGGAGAGGGCTCCGCTCTGCCACTCGCACGATATAATCGCTGCCGGGATGCGCTACCTCGCGGACCCGTTTTTCTCCTCTCGCCGCGTGCTCTTTCCTTCCGAGGATGTGGCTTCGAAGACGTTCCGCGAGATGCTCATCACATTGAGTTCTACGGGTTTATGCCGGAAACTCAGGCTCGGCTGCGACTGCACGACTCTCGCCAGCGTCTTTTCGAACGCGTGTCAAAGTATCCGCGACGTTATGACAAATGTCCTCTTCCCATTGCACGTAGCCGCTTCAAAATTATACGTGCCACTTGCAATTAAAGTTGACCGCCCGTCCAAAGGCAATTTGCAGGCAGCCTCGAGTCGACGCTGAGCTATTGAAAACAGTTACTTTCAATCGCCTCGCAAAATCTCTTTGTTTCCCTCATAATCGAGTCAAGTTCGAAAAACTTTGTGAAACATTTACGAGAAAGACTGTAATTAAGATCTACTATTATCTAACAGTTAAACACACAAGCAAAACTTTGGGAGTCGATAATATTAGAGTTCAAACATTTGCAAGCTACTACCATCGCGATGATAATCATAATGAGGGAAAAAAAACACCTGTTTTCTGGAGACCGTGGTTTCGGCATTTCAGTTTTGCTGCTTCGCTTTCAAAGCGTATATCGTAGCAGTTATCGCGGAAGATATTGACGAAAGAATGGCAAAAACGAAAGATAACATATCAGAGTTTGAGCAGGACGGTATAGCGGAGGGACCGATTTTACACCGAAAAAAATAATGACAGTGACTCTAATGGCATTTTAAATTTGAATGCTTGTTAAAATGCTTGGCATATCAGATTCAAGCGAGTTTTTACAATCCAAATAAAGAAAATAAGCATTCATTTTAGAATTATGACGTACTTTTAGAAATTCAATTCCGCAACGAACAAATTGGATATAAGAACAGTTGCGCAAAGGCAACGGCATTTAAAAGCGAGTCAATTCGTCTTTGCGCGTGTACCACGCGAGAAACCGGCGAGTTTCTACCGGTGTCCAGTTATCCTCCACGGAATTTGCCACGGCAAAGTATAATGCATTCTCGCGTCAGAGTCGATTCTTGTATCACTTTGAAAGTCGACGGCGAGATGGCAGAAAACCGATTGGGAGTAGTGGGAAAATTGAAGCGTCAGCCGCGGCTAAGCATTTCGCGGTGCGAGAGAGAGAGAGAGAGAGAGAGAGAGAGAGAGAGAGAGAGAGAGAGAGAGAGAGAGAGAGAGAGACGTCAAGTTTTAACCGAGGCATTAAAATTTCCAATAACCAACGGCGCAGAAATACATATCGCGGCGCGCGACGGATACGCTGCTGCTGGTGCTATTCAAACAGCGCCGGCAGGAAGTACGGCGAAGAGGAAAAAGAAAAAGAAGGGAACGAGGTAAATTATTCTGCGCGCTTGTACATCGGCTTTGCTAAAGCCGCACCTCTCGCTCGTTTTTCCGTCTTGGTGTGCCGCTCGCGGCCCTCGGCGGCGGCAGCAGCGGCAGCGCGCACGGAGGAGAGGGGCGGGACCTTTGGGGCGCCGCCTACCGTCTGTGCACCTTTTGATTTTCCGCGACGGCGCCAAGAAAATGGCCACCGCCGGCAAGGGAGCGAGAGAGGGAACTCCGTCATTTCCAACAGTGAAAGCTATATAACCGCGAGTAAAGCTAGCTATAGTCAGAGAAGGAAAGATATATATATATATATATATATATATATATATATATATATATATATATATATATATATATGTATAATCGCCATTTTGCGAAGCTTTAATTAGGCGCCGCTACAGCTGCTTTGCCAAGATAGCCGAGTACGATAGCCCAGGAAATTAAAGTCCTCATTGTTCCGGCTAGCGGCAGCTCCTCTCTTGCGCGCTGTAAAACATTTTTATTGGCTGGCAATCTGGAAAAGAAATGACGCTTCCTTTTTTTCCGCGCGCGTGTTTGTTTGAAGGGGAAGTGGAGGCTTGAAGGGTTGAGAAAACACAAACGAGCCGCTTAACAAGCGGCTTCTCCATATCAAGTTTTTTTTTTGTCCGTGGTGGTCGATTTATTTATTTATTTATTTTTTTTTTTGTTCCTTATCCTGGAGTACAGCATAATTTTTCCTTCTCGTTCGTTTGTTTCTTCAACGCGGAGAGAAATAGAGAGAGTCGAGCCGAGCTCGATTTATTTACAATTTTATAACTCCGTCCTTGGATAACGTGTATACATCTCAATAATCACGTCGCTCGAGAATGCACGCCGCTCCAAGGCGACTTAACTTTTTGCTACACACAGATTTGTTATCGATTGCAAAGTTTCTCTTGCGAACAGTGCAATCTTGTCGATCTTTACAATATAACATATGTCTCTTTTTGTCGATGGACGAACAATGAAAAACAGGCCGTCAAAAGATAATAAAACAAATTTCTATCTAGCTGATCCGAGATAAAACACGTTCGTTCAATAAACATCATTGTTAAAAATAAAAGAAAAAGCTCGTTAATTATAATCATAATGTCAGCGTAAGATCTATCTGGAGATTCGCAGTGTGTGCATATACAGAAACGCATACAAAAGTGAATTGCGTGGTGTCAAGCAGTTTGTAAACTGAAATGCAGAACGGCAGAGAGAACCGAAATGAAGAGGGCATATAGTTGCAGCCACCATCGAAAAGATGTACGAGGAGAGGAGGGCGTGGGTTGACCTATCGATAAGCGTGTAACTTAATCGTATGACTTTCCTTCGTTTGAACGTTTATTATTCACAGCGTGCAACGTCTACAGACAAACATTATTAGTGCGATTTCGTCGAAAGTAAAGGATAAAAATAAGGACGCAAGGTGCGATTGTCGAGAACGGAACAAGCGGCAGAAGCAGCTTATTAGAATAGAGCGCCGTTCCATCGAAATGAAGCAGTCAATTTTTATCTGAGCGCCAATCGTTTAGGCAGATTATAAGGAACGAAAAAGAAGAAAGCAGAAAAGGGAGCGAAGGTCTTGCACCCTCGAACGGACGGGCGGCGCGAGCGCAATATTGCGCAATAAGAAGGAGATAAGAGAGAGAGAGAGAGAGAGAGAGAGAGAGAGAGAGAGAGAGAGAGAGGAGACGAGTGTGTGCGTGCGGAATAAGATGGGCGATTCGATTAGCTTATGCGTATGCTTGGTGTGCGTGTAAGTGTGTACGCAGGGGGATAACTCTGGCGCGCGTTAAACGCTGCTCTCTTTTGCTTATAGTCGAGTTAATCGCTGCTCTCTTTTGCTTATAGTCGAGTTAATTTATCTATGTGCCTTTGCCACGTAAACATCACGTATAGAGCCGAGAGGACGAGCCTTTTTCGCTTCTTCGCGGCTCGCCTCGTTTGCTTTATTCCTTAAGCGTCGTTAATTTTCAGCGCGGGTAATTTACAAAATGTACAGACAGGTAGAGGAGGTCCCCGTTCAGCGACAGCCGCTCGTACGTCCTCCTCACATGTAGATGCGCCGCAGGTCCGACGGCGACGTTATCATGTTGCACTGCGGGCACAGCTTCTTTGCACCCTGCGAACAACCACCATTCATTTTGCTTTTTCTCCCCTTCTACTTTCCTTTTTCTCTCTTTTTTCTTTTTTCTTTTCTTTTTCGGGGGGCACGCACTCGAGCGTGCTTTATTGCCGCATTTTCAGCTCGTATGCGCGATAAACTTTTGACGTCTATGTTATATTATACTTTGAAGGATACAATTCAAGCGCGTTACTATCATCTTGCGAAATAAATCGTTACAGTTTTCAGCTATTTCGGCCAACTCTTCATATTTCGAAAATCAAACGTACCAGTGTGTGAAGCCAACATTGCTCGCAGTGCACGTGCCAACAGCAGACTGAAGTCACCGGTTTTTTGTATTGCTCCTGGAACCAAAGAAAATGAACGATGAAAGCCTCGTTAGGTATGAAAAATATATATTTGCCTTTGAAAGCTTCTTCCAGAAGACAAACGCCGTCCGCGCGTACATTATGCTGAATTAACGAAGTTCATTAGCTATAGTTATTTATAGATTCCACTCGACATTCGTCGGCATACATAAAAACTGCGCGTATTCTCTGCAGTCGATGTCATAAATTTTGCATTCAAACTGCACTGAAAAAGCACGTACCGGTAAAAGCTTTTCCGCGCGTGAGCACAAGAGAGAGGGAGAGAGAGAGAATCGGCGAGATAGCTACGATCGCAAAACATGAGCGTCGAACGAGAAGCTTTCGTTCGCCATCGCAACATGCTTTGCGCGCAAACTCTTTGGCATAATTGGCAAATACAGGAAGCGCAATTGCTTCGGTCGGGATAACTCACCATGCAAATGAGACACTTGAATGCCTGTCCGCGCATCTCGGCCTCGAGCTCGCGAATCCTGCCGCGAAGCGCCTCGACAACGGGTGCAGCGTCGGCGTCTTCGGACTTGGCGATGTCGCTGGTCGACGAGGACGCGGCCGCCTCGTCGCCGTGCGTCTGGCACGTGGAGCTCGGGCTCGCGGCCGGTTCGCTCTTGACCTCGACCGACGACGAGGACGACTGCGAGGGCTGCGGCGCCCCGTTGGGCGAGATCACGGCCTCCCTCAGCGCCTCTCGCTCCTTCTGCTCGCGCTCCGAGCCCTCGTGCCGCGGCGTCACCACGTCCGCCTCGGTATACTGCGCCGGGCCGAACTGCGCGTTCTCGTCGCCGTCCACCACCAAGTCCACGTCCTCGTCGTCCTGCGTCGTGTCCGAGTTGCGCGCGCCGTTCGCCCCCGAGCTGCGACTCGACGACGTGGCCAGTCCTGCCGCTGTGGAAATGGTTGCACCTCGCGTTCAGCGACAGCGCCCGGGACCGCGGAGCCGCGGCTCAACTCACCGGCAAATCCGCCAAGTAACATCGAGCTGGCCCTCACCCTCCGCTGACCAGCCCACTCGTACTCCTCGAAGGCTTCGGCGTCGCCCTCGACGTCGACGTCCTCGTCGTCGCCGTGATGCCGATGCTCGGGATTCTGCTTGTTGAGGCATCGCTCCACGTGCTGGTTCAGCTCCTCGGGCGTGCCGGACAGCCGCTCGCTGCACACCGGGCAAGCCGGCTCGTCGGCTTTCCTCTTGCGATTTTTCATGCGTATGCGTGCCTTTGGAAAACACCGGGCCGTTAATTAGCCACGCACGCGCGCCTCTCGGGAAAGCACCGGAGCTAATGACGCAGTGCGCGCAGCTCGCGATATCGCGCATTAGCGCTGCGCGAGCACGCTCGTTTCCGCGTGCGGAGCGCTATCCGCTCGTGCGATCTCCGGAGTCCCGGCGCCCCGCGCCGCTCAGCGCTGCGGAATTTTAACGAACGCTCTCCTACCTGTCGGTTGGCCTTGATGCGCTTGTACGTCTCCCATCGGCCGATAGGCGTGCCGTCGGCCGCCGACGGCGTGTGCAGCAGCTGGTTGTGCGGGTGTTCCGGCGCCTGGGGTGGCAGAGTCGAGCGTGGCCTCGGCCTCGACGACACCGACGACAACTTGTACAGGCGATCGAGCTCTTGCAGGAAGTGCTGCTCCAATTCTTGGGGCCGAACTGTCACGCCGCAAACCGGGCAGCATTGCGGATCTGCCGAGAACTTTTTCTTCCCTGCGACACATAATGGCGAGGAATAATGTTCGTCGGTGATTCATGCTCGTGTATCTGGAAGATTATCGGCTCGCGGCTTCGTTAAGGCCGATCAAACAAGTCAGAGGTAATTTTCTCTTATTCATCGTCTGGCATGCGAAACCAATGTAAAAAACGACCTGATCACGACTTCCACACGTTTAATAAGAAAACGATATCGTTACCGAAGTATCAATTTGCTCTCCCTCGTCAAACTCGTATCTGCGCAGCGCCAAGATTCGTTCCCCTCAAGACATGAAAGCCCATAGAGGAAAAAAAATAAAAGTGCCACGCTGACAAATTATGGTATCACGCGACGTAGCAGTCATATCAACATAATGAGATTATCCTCACTTGAAACGCACGCGCGCGCGAGTGTCTCGTCAAGCATCCCAGCGCGATAAATCCATAAACGAGAGCATTGAGAGTCCTCCCGGTGATTTGTGGTCGACGAGTTACGTCTTTTTTTTTTCCTTTTTTTAGTCTACAGTCGCCGACGGTTTATTTTGAAAACAGAAACAACCGAAAAAAGGAGGAGAGAAAACCGCTACGCATAATCCTCTTTGACAGATCCACATGCGCCCCCCGAGCGATAACTGCCGATCGTTTGTTTTCCGCCACGGAGAGAGAAAGAGAGCGAGAGAGAGAGATGCATCGCGCTACGGTACAAAACACCGGAAATCCCGCTATTTTTACAAGCCTCTTTTCCTTTCAACGCTACGTGATACTTGTCCCGTCGCCTGTGACCAAAAAATTGTCTATGATACTTCTTCTTTTTTCGTCCATGTTTTGACACCTAAGTAAATTGTTATCGTCGCTCGTTTTTACTCATCCACGGAAATATAGCGGGCGACATTTTGTTTTGAAACACAGCGAAATCGATGATATGAAACCGTGGACACTGTTCTTTGTGTCAAGTGTATTTTTTTATATTTTTTGGTTGGCCGAACCGTTTCTTGTTAAGGGAACATTATACTGCGCCGCAGCTTCATACATGCGCGGCCGGATCAATTTTACGCCCGACTTTGTTAAAGGTCCCCTCCGATTTTTATAACTTTTTTGTTTCGTTCGCCGTTACCGCTTTTTTTTTTCCTCTGCGCTCGCGGATTAGCGCTGAAATTCGAAGCACGTGGAAAATACGCGGCCAAGCATTATCCAGTTCGTTCGCATGGAACAACAAAAAATATGTCCATGTGGAAATAGAATTTGCGCGAGTATGTGTGTGTGTGTGTTTTTTGGTCGATGGATACGTATAAATTAGCGACGATGTGTAACATTTAAACATTTCACATAGATATAAATGTTTTTTAGAAAAAAAATTTTTACCGTACGTATAAAAAAAAGAACGAATCGTCGGCATATTTTACCCGACAGAAAAAAACTATTCGGGAAAAGACTACCTCTATTTATTTGGAAAACGCATTCCAAAAGAAAAAATGTCCATTCAACGCATACACACAGTCCTTCGTATATATAGTTATATATGTATACAGAAGGATTCTCCCCGCTTGTAATTCTCAAAACGAAACTAATTCGCGGATATCGAATGGAGCAACTAAATCAATCGGCAAATAGAAGCGGAGATGGGGGAAAGAAAGAAAAACTCACTGGTTACGGTCTTCGGTTGTGTTGTCGGGAGTGAAACATTTCTCACCGTGCTAGAGAGAGAAAGAGAGAGAGAGAGAGAGAGAGAGACCTGCCGAACAAAAGCGAGAGAGAGAGAAATCCATTAAAGGCACCTCTCTACCTTCCGAACAATCCTCCGCAGGCTGCTGCTGCTCGTAAAACGCCGTCCGCGTTCGTTTATTTGTCGAACTGAGTCTCTCTCTCTTTCTCTCTCGGGCGCACATTCCCGGCTGCCGTTTAACATATCCGCGCGCGCGTCTTCTTTCTTTGTCCTATTCTTTTTCCCCTTTCAATTAAGTGGGCCCCCGCAAATTTATGGTAAAGCAGAGCGAGCGCGCACGGCAGTGCGCTCGGGGAGGGATATGAACAAAAAAAAGGAGAAAAATCCGCAATTAAAGAAACCTCCTTATCGCCTTTCCAAAGCTCCTTATCTCTGCTACCATAACGGCCCTATCATTTACACTTTCTCTCGCGAGAGCACGACTCTCTCCTTTTTTTCTTTCCATTCCTCTTCTTCTTTTAATTAAACCGTGAGAGAGGCTATATCGCAGTGCTTTATTCTCGCGTAATGAGGTTGCACCCACGCGGCGCGCGACGAAGATAAGCCTATACGAAGCAAATGCGACAATAAGGCGATGTTTACGAGGTGTTATCTCGCTCGGCGAACAGCCGATTTCTTCGCTGCGCGACTTCCGTTGCAGCGCCTCTGCCCGTCCGTCGCGAATTGACCGATCAAACGCTGCTCGTGCATTCGTCGATGGAGCAATTAGCTCGCGCGATACCAATGGGCCGAACCTTTCGCGAGGGCGGTGCCGCGGCCACACGCGTACTTTATGCCCCGGCCGATCCCCCCCCCCCCCCCCCCTGATATTATCGCTAATTTGCTCGCTTGTTTACGACTGGCAGACAACCGAAGACCGCGCTCGCTTCCAATTTTTCGATGCACAGTTCTGCCTGATCGAGCCTCGCCACCGCTTTCCTTTTGCACTCGACGCGTCCGCGCATTTACGCGCTGTCTCCCCCCCTCCCCCCGTTTGCCGCCACCACCGCACGCGAATATTATACAAACGAGTTACGACTGTTCGTCATTTTTTCCTTCTCAATAATTGCGTTTTCGAAGGGGGGTTGGCCCCTCAATGAGAGCCTCGGGCAATGATCTTTCTTTTTTCTTGCATCAAGCAGCGCACAAGTCTACTCATTGGAGATTGTTCTCGTTTCTTGGAGTATACAAATCCACGACTCTTGGAAAGATGGCAAACAGGTTTCGAGCCGAGTGTCGACGACTAAATAAACACCAGTTCGTCGTTACGTCTCTAATCCGCCAAGTAAAAAAGAGGAGTTCGAGCAAAGCTACGTATAGCTGCGTATCTTTTTGCGAATAGAATGAACGTCAGCTTTTTTTTCGGGAACGTGTGCGTCGAAATAAAGAGAGAGAGAGAGAGAGAGAGAGAGAGAGAGAGAGAGAGAGAGAGAGAGAGAGAGAGAGAGAGAGAGAGAGAGAGAGAAAGCGAGAGAGGGAAACGTCAGAAATAACCAACGAGGCGGAAAAAAACGGTCACACTCTTGCCGTGAGCGTTTGCGGGCGCGGGGGGTTGCGGAACTTTGGCGTAATCCGGTTTTAATTAAATAACCAGAGCGGCGGTGGCGGCGGCGGCGGCACCTCTCACTTGTATACGCGAACTGCGCCGCTGCGGACCGAGAGAGAGAGAGAGAGAGTAAAAGAGTTGCGGATTTGGAATGCCAGCGCACGCGCCGCCGGCTGTCGGGCATTTAAGCGTCAGGCATTTAACCACAACTGTCGTCTTCCGATTGCCTGAGTTATGGCCACCTCTCCCGCGCATGTAGATTGCGAACGTGTGTCTCTCTCTCTCTCTCTCTCGTTCGGTGGAGAGCGGAATTTCGACACGCCGCACTCTCTCTCTCTCTCTCTTGTTCTGCTACTGCGTGTAGCGGATGGCTCCGCGAGCTGCTGGAAGGCACAAAAGGTGATAAAGCTAACTTTTTAAGGGCCACTCGCGCAATCACCGCGCCGCTGGAACGACGTAATTATAAGAGTTTAAAAGGCCTGTTATGGGCTTATCTTGGGACATTCTAGTGTTGCGTTAAACTGCGATCTCCTTTCTTTGCTTCTCCTTTTTTTTCGGGAGCCGCTTGATTTATTGATTGTTAAAGTAATTGCGCGCTTGCGCCAAATGGATTTTTGATAAATAAATTACGCTTAGATTTACGTCGCGATAAAACGTCCGATGAGTGATTCATTCAATAATAATTCATTCGAGCTCACGGAAAAAACGACGTGGGGTGGGGGCATCGCGACGCCTGCGCATGCTCGCATCCTACAGTCGGGTTCATCATGCGCGTTCGACGATCATTTCGACTGTTCCGCGGCCGACTGTCGCGCGAGGCGAAAGGACGAGGCGCGCGATCTCTCGAGGCTAAAAAGGCGGCTCGACAGCCAAGTTTGCGGCTTTCGCCAAGCCACCGAGACGCGTAATCCAGTCGAAGCCCCGAAGGATTTTCCAGCGCTCGCGCGCGCACCGCAAGCAGATTTCGCGAAAATGTGTTTTTCGGCCCTCGACGCGCGCACCGTCCTCGAGGATTAAGCGCGCGAAGGGCAGTCGCAGATTGGCTTTATTAATAACTTGAGCCGCAAAAACAATAAAGCCCGGGGACGTATCTCGGGATGGGGGGAGGGGGGAGGGGGGGCGGGCGATTAACGAAAAATTTATCGGCGCGCAATTGCCGATATTAATCGGCCTGGCGCTCCGACCCCCCGCGCTCACCGCAGAACAACATAATAATTCGGAAAATTAGGCGCGCCATATACGACGAAGACGGAAGGGAGCGAGCAAGAGCCATGAAAACAAGATGCTCGTCGTCGTCGTCGTCGTCTAAGTTTCGGCAGTTAAGGCTGCACACTCTCCCGGCTAAGTAAAGGAAGAGGAGCTGCTCTCATGCATACCCGAGCAGATAAGGGGGATCTATTTCTCTATTTAATTTCCCATCTCGTCAGCGCAAAGAGAGAGAGAGAGAGAGAGAGCGAGCGAGCGAGCGGCTCCGATAGCTATACCTCGCGATTTACGGGCATACGTGCGCCAGCGCGTGCCTCCTTTTTCCGTGGCGCGCCGCCATATACCTAATTCGCTTTTACAGCCAGCTCTGCTGCCGGATTCTCGTTTCGCGAGCGTCGCGCGGAGCTAAGGAAGACCGAGTATAAAAGTCGCGCGTTTCTCACCTGAGGCACCTCATTGCCGAGATGAGCTGCGCGAGGGAAGAAAAAAGACGACGGCAGAGGCGTCGAAGCGAGAACGAAAATTTGTTTTTTTTCTTTTCTCTCGCGCTGACTGGGAAACGGC